AACTGATTACGTAGGGATTGACATTGTGCCCGTAGTTCTTCTATCATGGCAATAGGTTCACTAGCCACAGAAGTATCCGTTGATCTCCTCTTAACACGACTATCCCCGGTCCTCTCACCAATTCGGTCGGTTACGGCCCTGGTGGATCTGTCCCTTGGGGTAGTTCGTCCTCGAGATGGTCGATGCCCTTGGCGGACAACATCACTTCGAGCACTGTTTCGAGAAGATCTTGGTGTACTTTGGGTGGATATTCTTCGTCTGTTTGATGTAACTTGCCATCCGGACTGTGTAGTTCGGGTAGAGCGTATCCCACCACTGTCTGCCGTGTCGCCAGGGGAAGATTGATTGACCTCCTCGACCGGCATAGCAGTGTTCTCATTGAAGGTAAACTGCGTGGTGCGCGAATCTCCGCTGCCGCCTTGCATCTTTGCAATGATGAGCTGATTGGTCCTTTGCGTCCTCAATCAATTGCTCAGAAGGCCCGGCTACCAGCACGCAGGTACCACTCTCCCGACGGGAGAAGTGAGCCCTACGGCTGATAACCTGTGAACAAATGAATCCTTGTTCTGGATGTGGTTATTGAATTGCGGCACCTGTTATGCTGGTAGTTCCGGACAGCGATACGGCATTGCAAGCAGAGCTCGGACTTTTTCCTCGCGCAGGGACTTGAGCCAGTACGGCGTTCCAATGTGCAGTTATACGTGCACATGATAGATGTCCTAGCGTTCAGTTCCCTTTGACACTATATTATATAATATCAAATTGTATTATATTAAATTATTATAGTTTATATTACATAGTATTATATCATTTTGCATTAAATGAAAAAACTTGTATCATATTATAATGAATATCCTTTATTTTGAACTTGAACTATTATATTGTATTATATTATTAGTAGATTATATTATATTGAATTATTAGTATATTATATCATGTTAATGTATGTAATATTTTATTATATCAATTTAAGATATATATATATATACATATATTATCTACTAAATATCATATGATTTAAAATTCTATATATTATATTCAATTTTGAACATGATATATCTTATATTATATCATAGTATGGTTTAAAAGGTTTGATTATATATATATATAATTCATTACATTACAATAAATCATATTATATTAAATTAAACTACAATATTTTACTGATTGCATTATATTATACAATGTTATATTGAATTCTATTAAATTACATTATATAACATTTCATTACATTCTATTTTGTTGCATTTTCCAAACATACATTACATTACATTACACTACACTGCATTACATTACATTGCATTACATTATACATTGCATTGCACTGCACTGCACTGCATTGCATTGCATTACATTACATTATACATTGCACTGCATTGCATTGCATTACAATACATTACATTATACATTGCATTGCATTATACATTGCACTGCATTGCATTGCATTGCATTACATTAGACATTGCACTGCGTTGCATTGCATTACATTACATTATACATTGCACTGCATTGCATTGCATTACATTGCATTGAATTGCATTAAATTACATTACATTATACATTGCACTGCATTGCACTGCATTGCATTACATTACATTATACATTGCACTGCATTGCATTGCATTACATTCTACATTGCACTGCATTGCATTGCATTACAATACATTACAGTATACATTGCACTGCATTGAATTGCATTACATTACATTATACATTGCACTGCATTGCATTGCATTACATTGCATTACATTACATTGTACATTGCACTGCATTGCATTGCATTACATTACATTATACATTGCACTGCATTGCATTGCATTACATTACAATCTACATTGCACTGCCACTGCATTGCATTGCATTACAATACATTACAGTATACATTGCACTGCATTGCATTGCATTACATGACATTATACATAGCACTACACTGCATTGCATTGCATTGCATTACATTATACATAGCACTGCATTGCATTGCATTACATTACATTATACATAGCACTGCACTGCATTGCATTGCATTACATTACATTACACATAGCACTGCATTGCATTGAATTGCATTACATTACATTATACATTGCACTGCATTGCACTGCATTGCATTGCATTACATTACATTGTACATTGCATTATACATTGCACTGCGTTGCATTGCATTACAATACATTACAGTATACATTGCACTGCATTGCATTGCATTACATTACATTATACATAGCACTGCACTGCATTGCATTGCATTACATTACATTATACATTGCACTGCATTGCATTCCATTTCAGTGCATTACATTACATTACACATTGCATTGCATTATACATTGCACTGCATTGCATTGCATTACATTACAGTATACATTGCACTGCATTGCATTGCATTGCATTGCATTACATTAAACATTGCCTTGCATTGCATTGCATTACATTACATTATACATTGCACTGCATTACAAAACATTACATTACATTATTCATTGCACTGCATTGCATTGCATTACAAAACATTACATTACATTATTCATTGCACTGCATTGCATTGCATTTACAATACATTACATTATACATTGCATTGCGTTGCATTGCATTACATTACATTATACATTTCACTGCATTGCATTGCATTACATTACATTACATTACATTATACATTGCACTGAATTGCATTACATTATACATTGCACTGCGTTGCATTGCATTACATTACATTATACATTGCACTGCATTGCATTGCATTACAGTACATTACATTATACATTGCATTGCATTGCATTACAATACATTACATTATACATTGCATTGCATTGCATTGCATTACATTACGCTACATATTTATATATATATCATTCCGGAAAAATTATTTGAATTCCATTTGCAGAGAATTTCGGGAATGTCCCCCATTCCGTTTGGGACAATCAACGGATGTGTCCCCCTAAACAATTCCAAAGCACTGCCATGGGGTAAATTGGCAATGGGATTCCGATATAGGCATAGAACCATCCTTCAATGGATTGGTTTAAGGGAAAATTTTAACCGGAAAGCCCCATGACTTTCATGGGACAATCTATGGTTTCCGGTTAAGATTTTCCCGACTAAACCAATCCATTGAATCCTCCAAAATCCACGAAAATTGCCAAAGGCACAGGCTGGGTCCACGTCCGTCTCCTGGATATCTATATCTGCCCAGCCTCAGCTCAAGTTCGGAGCACCACTATGGTTCGGAGATGGGGCCGTTTTGACTATGGTTCTATCACCAGGCAAATCGGTTTGTCTGAAAATAGGGTACCCACAAGCTTGATGATTCACTGGATTGGTTTTGTTGGGAAAACCTACACGATTCACCGTGTTCCATTAAATATGTAAAATGTCCTGTAAATCAATCCAATGAATGATGTATGATCGCAATCAAGGCACTCGGCCCCGGGGACCGCCTAGGTGCGGCCCGCGGGGCCGGCTGGGCAGGCACCTCCACCTGGACGTCTTGGATGCCGTGTATACATTTGTATGTGTACTATAGCATATATATATATAATGATATATATATATACATATTATAATAATATATACATATTATAATAATATATATATATAATAATAATAATAACAATAATAATAATAATCATAATAATCATCATAATAATAATACTAAATAATAATATAGTTGTATATATAGGTCTTCCGTGTCTTCACAACTTGCGGCCTGAAGCACCAGAACCACTTAGCAAAGAATCGCTGCTTTTTCGTCAGCCCAAAAGTAAGGTCATCAAGCCCAAAACCAGCCTGAACACGAAAGTGAAGATGATACACCCATATACACCCCAAAACCAGGTAAACCATGGTAAACCAGCCTGAAGAGGCACGTGGAAGTTGCTTTCCTCGCGCATTACATCTTCTTCTGCTTCAGAAGGGTCAAGGTCACTGGAGTCGGAGTCATCGGCCTCCAGCGGAATCCCAGAGTGCAAATCGTTCATCAAGTGTTGGATTGGAAAGGAAAAAGGTGCTAAAATGTGCTAAACCTGACTGATATGGATGATTTGGATGTTTTGGATGGATTTAGATGATCATTTTGGATCATCGTTTGCAATCGTTAAGCAAGTGCTGGATTGAATGATTCGGAATGATCTGGAATGCAGTGTATTTATATATATATAGATGCCCTTCTGAATTCAAAGTGAAAACCATTATAATCAACATTCCAATGATTATATTCATATTCCAATGGGGTTATCTTCGTTCGTGATTAGATGATGTTAGATTCACATCCCACCAGGGCTCAGGCGAATGCTGCCAAGGAACAGCCACATGCCATGTAAGATCCGTTTTGGGTAGGGACTTCACACCCCAAAATAAATTCAGAGGATCCCATTGTAATCCCAAGATTTGTTTATGAAGATCAATGAGATCAATGGGCAATCAGTGAATAATTATGTGAGCCGATGAGGCTTCAGATGCATTTCCATATGATATGTAGGCCCATGAATGCCCACGGTCAATTTTGTATAGAAACATTTTTCCTACAAATCAGTTTAGTTTCGATTTCATCAGCCTGCCCCGCTGCACTGTGCCATCGACCGGTGGAAAGCCTATGAAAGGCCTCCATGTCGGGCCCCTTAGAGCGCCCTTTTTTCTGGCTGGAGTTTGGCTCAGGGTTGCGAAAAGTTGGCCCCTATCTACCTTGGTTTGGACGATTGAGTGGATCATGTTTGAAGATTTCATATATAGTATAATGTGCCATATAAACCCAATCATATTTGTCTTGACCATTGTGTAAAGGCAATTAGTTTATTATAATATATTATAATATACTTATGGGATGCATTTGGCTTAGTTAAAGCCTTCTACAGTAAATTTGGTTCTATTGGGCAAATTGGTGTCATATCTCTTTGGACGATTTGCAAGGTGATTTACATTCCCAGTCTGAGAGCTATTTTGGCTCGCTACATCTTCGTCGTCCTCCCTAAGGGGGGTCTTGGTGGTAATTGGTGGCTCTAGGCACAATGGATGTGCAGAACTTGTATGCGAAGTGGGAGAAGAGTGAGGTGCTTCGGGACCGAGTTCGAAAGGAGAAGAAACTTTGCCTACACCCATCTGCCCAAAGTTTTTGTGAGCCCAACAGGGTGAACGCCGTGAACAATTCTGAGGTGCTATTGCCAGCAATTGACAGGTTGAAAGCCAGTGAAGGTTGGCAATTACCACATTTAGAACCGCTTCAAGGTGAAATCTCTCGTTTCTTTGAGAAGGTCGGGGTCGAAATTGACGACCAGCAGATCTACATGACATCCATTGAAGTAAAGAAACTCCTAGGATTCGTGAAAAGGAGAGTGAAACGTCAGGTCACCAAGGATTGGGGGTTTAAACAAAAATGCACAACATCACCGTCCAAATCATTTGCACTGCAATAATAGATTCATTGTAATTATATATTCACTACCTACTTTTTAAGAATGCATAAATCCCCACATGTTCATGTCACCGTATTTGTGGCTTTTCTCAATTTTGGGCACATCTTCCATCTATATCATAGGTTACCTATGGAACCTTCCCCTTGGGTATCTATTGTTTAGCTGCCCCTCCAGGACCAGAAGTTCCACGAGTTGCTGCTGGCCCTGGATCCGACACTCCAGGATGGGGGGCAAAGTTTATCTATGTTTATCTTAATTTCAATATCCACAAGGTCCCATAGATAAGTAAAAGTAGTAGATAAAATAACCCGAAATCACCCCTGCACAATCCTATAGGCAGTGTTGGGCATCAACCCCTTTCAGGAGGTCATTGATGCATACATGGGGTCTTCGGCTGGTGACCAAGATGATGCTGACGATGAAGATCCCCAATCCCAGCAGGACTATGATGACTTCAAGAAATGGTTGAACAAGCGCCAGCCTACTCCTCAGGAAACGGTTGAGGCTCGCAGGGCTCCCCAGGTTCCCAAGCAAAAGGCTGACGTTAGCTGGGTGTGCCAATTGTGCAAGGAAGATGCCACCAAGTGTCACTTGATTTAACATATTAAAACCCAATTTGGCATCCATTTTTTGTCCCTATGTTTTGCACACATGCGTTGGTTTCTAGACCCCAGGCAGAAACATGTAATCAGTGGCAAATATATCCCAATCAAGTTAATGGGTTTGGTTATGCCACGTCAATTCCCAGCCTCTTTTCCACACACCCCAATCCATGAGGCGATTGCCAAGCAAAGATCAAGGAACTCAAGGAGAAGATTGCCAGGAAGAAAGCTGAGCAGGCGTTCCTTGGCTATCGTGGCTGACTGTTGTCCCTTGAATTCACCAGCGTTGGTTTGGAATACATGGCTTAAGGAATAAAATATATTCGGCACCAATAATTAGCCTAGTGTGTGTTCGTGTTTCTTGGGATGAACTCTGTGTGGTGAAAATGGGAAAAAATACCAATGTAGTTTTACAGAAACATACTGTATCTTTTTAAAATCCCTTCAAGCCTTATGTACATGCACCTCTGGGATTATAAAACAGTTTGAGGTCAAGGGCTGCGAAAGACCAGCAACAGCGAGAACCATCAAGGACAGAAGCAAAGCGACCTGATTTGGGAAGAGGCATCCAGTGTTATTAACAGCTTAATGAACACAAATTATTTTTTCCCCGAATGATTTTAATCAATGTAGCTGTGGGGTCTTTCCTGATTATTTGCTCTGCCAACTGTTACCCCCACAGGTGGCAGTGGAAGTGCCATGGACAACTTGGAAACCATGCCCCTTGAAGAAGACATACCACCTTCACAACCCCGGGAGCGCTCTGAGCTCTCCATGATTTCCAAGCCAATGGCTCCGTCTACCCCCGAAGCATGCAAAGCACCCGAACTCCCTGCAGCTCCAAGCAAGGTGTCAAGTTGCAAAACGACTGTATCAGTTCCAATTATTTGCAACATTTGGGGGAGAAAATAAGTTGACTAATTACCATGTTTTTAAGGTCACCCTTTGTACCCAGATTTTTGAACGCAGATCCATTCTTGAATGAGACATGCTAGTATTTGGAAAAAACATATGGGGACCATGAAGAAGATTTATCTATAGTATATGATGGGCATGGAGTAATTTTAAATATGTCTTTTGTAGTTTTGTTTCCTGCCCTCCTGCTACAGGTCCTCACTCGCGCCGAGCAGCTTGCGGCCAAGAAGAAGGCCAAGAGCGGTGCCGCCGAGCCTGAGCAAGAGGACAAGGGTAACCAGGGCAACAAGGGAGCCACATCGGATGACAATGACAGTGGTGATGATTTTGGGTGTCCCACTGGGTTTATGAAACGACCAGCTGCCAGGGGTAGACCACCAAAGGCAAAGGCCACTTCCAAAGCTGCGGCCAAGAGCAAGGCCAAAGCCGAACCCAAGCCCAAGAAGAAGAGTGAGTCCAAGAAAGGCAAGAAGGAGAAGAAACACAAGGTAGAGGAGGAAGACGAGGTGGATGGTGATGGAGACGTCGCCGATGATGCTATGGATGTCGATGGTGACAATGGTGAGAATGCCACCCAGGACTACAAGAACTATGATGATGGAGATGAATATCAGGAGGATGCCGAAGAAGTGAAGCCAAAGAAGGCGAAGGGAAAAGGCAAGGCCAAAGACAAGTCCACTCGCAAGAGAAAGAACAAGACGACCAAGACGACCAAGACTGATGGTGATGCTGTTGATGATGATGATGGTGCCTCCCCCGATGCCCATCCTGCCAAGCGGCCGCGTTCGAAGAAGCCTAAGGTGGCCCCGAAGGATGCAGCAGCACCGAAGAGGAGGGCCAGAAAGAGCACTCCTTTGCCGGCATCAGTGGATGACTTGGCCGATGAGACCATGAAGGGGATTGTGTTGCAACGATTGAAAAGTGTGAAATCCATGAATGTGGAGGATCTTAAGGCCTACCTCATCTCAAAGAAGGGTGACGTTGGTCAGGACAATGCCCGGTTGAATACTGATTGGAGCAAGACAAGCTCCAGCATTCGCTTGAAGCATGTCGAGGGGTTTCCCACAATTTGCAGTTTCACTTTCAAGACCGGCACGTGGAATTCCCGCATGGCTGCGGCCTACATTTCCTCTTGGTTGATGGTTTCTCTGCATCAATTCCCCATACTCAGGTAAACATTTTTAGTTTATGATCTTTATGAGTTTTCATTTGTTATTTCATTTCCTGGCAAATATACCATATTCATCCATATTTGGGGTCCTGAACCTAAACGGGAGAAACTACACCATCCATTCACTGTTTTCCCCTGAGGCTAGCTGGATCGATTCTCAGCCAGAAGAAGTTCTGAGCAACCGTGAAGATCCTACGTCTTACTTTCACAAAGAGGAGTCCAAGATCAGATTCAATGCCGCCAAGGCATTGGAAGAGTTCCACAGTCGAAGCTAGGAGATGTATGATACGTTTTCCAGCTATGCTATGAGCGCTTTAGACTCTGCAGTTGAGGTCTGGGTGTACCAACGTAAACATCAAGATGCACTCATTACAGAAATCAAGACAATACTGAAAATGTTGAGGCAAAAGAATACATGTTGATGTGAGGAGATCAAATTTCACTTGAATAAGTTTTCATTTGGTTCTGATTTGTTTCAGTTTCTGAACAGCTCAAATCTCAATGCAGACCAGTGCTCTGGCACCAGGGTCGATGGTGTAAGGTCAGCGATATGTGACCTGGGGTGATTGCAGTTGGCAAATGATTGAATGGCTTTTTCCCATGGGAATCCAAACCATATGAAACTAGCCTGTGGGGCCCTTTCAATCTGAAGGGGGCCAACGCGTAGGTCAAAGATGGTCACAGGTGAGAGAAGACTTGTGGGGTAAACCTCACGCGTGTTTGGAAAAAGTGGTTTTGGTCGTTTCGCAGCGCAGGAAATCACGGGCTCACCAGGTTCATCAAGATAGTGTTGAAACTATTGAGCCTCATTTCCAGCATGTTACCCCAAAATCCGCAATTGAGCCCTTTGTGCAAGATGTGCCAACACTCAACTAGGCAATACCAGACACTCGAAGCTATGATCCCGATTCCAAAGAATTATTGTTATAAGAGCGATGTGTAGTGAAAATGACACTCCAAGGTCGATTGGATGATTGGCAATTTCAGTTCTCATGTGTCAACTAGTTTACAACGGTCCCCATTTTCCATAAATAACTTTGATTGGATAATCCCCCAACCTGTTTCTACCTTCAAGATCCAGGGACGCATATCCATATCGAACTCCATTGTGCCCGCATGAGGTCCGAAGCTGAAGATGCCTCGCCGGCTGAAAGTTCAGAAGTGGGCTGTCAAGAACGGTGTGGCCAATGTTACACGAACCACTGGCATGTTTTACTCCGGGCTGAATGCTTGGGATGGAAGATACATCTTTGTAGAATTCAGCTGGCTCCAGGGTTTTGAAACTTTCGAATTCCTGGGGTTCCTTCCCACTATTTCTGGGTGACTTTTCAATCAGTATTCATCGACAGGATGTTCAAAGGAGTCGGGTTGGAAACAACGGATACCTTGATCTTTCGACAAGCTGTGTTGTTAACAAAATTGATCATCACATGTTGAATGAAACCTGTGATGAATTTTGATGGTCACACCATTAGTTCCAGCCAAGTTGCCACTGACTGCTGTCATGGCAAGAGCAGTGCACCAGCATACTACCTTGATTGGATCAAGCAACGTTGGGCACGGGAAACTCTTGGGAATCAATTGTTCTGGGATGTTTTTTACACACAGAGACCCTGGAAATAGAACCCTTCAATTGGTGCTTCCATATGTCCATTTGTTGGATTTCAAAGGTATTTCAAGTCCTCTGAGAAATTTAGTGAAAACAAATGGTAAGACAGTCCCTGGATGTTAATGGTCTTTGTATCCCTTAAGATTTGTCTGGGGTGCGGCGTTGATTCGCCATGGCCCGCTCAAAGCAATTCGTTGATGCCCTCATGTGGCGCCTCAAGACTTTAGGTGCTCCTAAAGATTCTGGTATGCATTAATAATGGGAAGTTTTCAGCGCTCACATCTACATACAGGGTGTCTAAACAACATATGTCAAGAACGGATACACTCAAAAATGATATAATTCGTAACAAAACAACATACAAGTATAGGGACCTGGAATTTCATGCACAATAAATGAGCAAACTATATGCATCATTATCTGTCCCTTCTTTGGCTCAGGTGATGCTATTGGCTGTTCTCCTGACTCTGTGGACGGAGCCAGCCACATATGCCCGTGCTTGTGTTCAGGACTTTGGTGGGAAAGGTGTGCATCTGGGGGGGAAGAAATTCCCAACAGAAAAAAATATACTAATGTCATGTCCGAACATTCCAACATCCCAAGTGTGTTTGAATGTAGTTTCACTATCCAAACATCTTTTGCGGGTTGAGCCCATTGAACCTTGGGTACAAGGAAGTACAACCAATACAATGGATGGAGTTCTTTGCTGGCAAGGCTGAGGCTACAAAAATGTTTCGGTCCCATCAGTTCAGAACTGGGAGACTTGACATTAACTACATGCAGCCGAAGCCCAATGGGATGAATCCTATGGATCTATGTTCCGATGCAGGAATGGGGTTTCTGGGTAGCAATTGCATCACTACTTCGTAAGTCTTGCTGGATCCCATGATGTTATCTTCCCGGTAAATGTCTAGTCCATGTGAAATATGTCCCAGCTCCCACATCCTAGGCTTGCTATATCCAGTGTTTTGCTGGGTGACTACGTCAATGGATGGGTGGCCCATTTTGGGCTGAAATGTTCCACTTTCAGCACCATGAATTGTGGGACAAGTGGCAGGACTCCATGCACACCATGCGGTAACTGGGAATTCCCAAGTGTGCTTGAAGGAAATTTACTAGCATCACGGTTTCTTGGCACAGAGCTTCAAAATCAAACATTGTTTCAGTACTGGTTTTTCGTTATAGCTATGTTCTGTGCGGGGATGTGGGCACATGATTCCTGAAATATACCCTTTATATACATGAACCACTTGGGAAGTGACTAAGGGTAATATTGCTCCTATGCCTCGCGGTTTGCGTCAACGCAACGATACTGCTGGAGCAGCCATCCAATTCATTGTTGGAATATTATCCCCGTTTTCGTGACTTCCTCCAGATGCTGATGAACATCGGGGGTTCCAACGCTGTGCCTTGATTCAGTCATTGAACCAAGTAGCAATTGGAGATCACCATGTGCACAATCATCACCACTGCAGCTTCAAAAAGCCTTGGGTGCATGTCTGGGTTTGAATTTTTAGATTTGGTACACACCATTGCCCTGTAGTTGCCATATGTGGCCATGCATTTTTGAATGGTAACTTAGGTCCACCGCATTGACTGGTGGATGGCATTATATGGTGGCCCTACACCCAAAAGACACTTTTGCTACAGCAACAGCCCAGGGATTGCACGGCTAAATCTTGGCCAGCTTCGAAGTTGGACCCAAAAGATACGTGCGGTGGATGCCGCAGGGGGAGATCGGGTGCGAACAGTTCAGAAATACCATGACAAACAGGGGCGCCTTCGTTACAAAGGAGCTGCGGGGCTCAAACCCTCGGAGTCAGAAACCTAATTGCTTCAAAATGCGGGTCAAAGAAACAAAGTAAGTTAATTCTTCTAAGGGTTTTCCATGCTTTACATTGCTTCATTCACAAATTCCTGATTTTTAAACTTTCACCTAGGAACTACCCTCCTGGATTCGGAGAAAAATTGGTGAAGATCTTCCAGGAACTGATCACCCTGAAGCAGGGCATGCCAACCTTGCCAGATCCCGTGCCTGACGCAAAGGATTTTTTTTCTTCTATGTCTTACGACGACAACTGGCAAGACGCCGATGTTGTCAGTGTAGTGCACTGGCTCCGGGGAGGACGTGACTTAGCCATCCCGGAGGAATGGAGGAAGCTACTTCCCGAGAAATTGTAGGTTTCATACTTTTGGCCCTGGAAACATATCCCAAAAATGCATTTCCCGCCAAAGAAAACTTGGCTTTCTTACGGTTTTTTTCGAATTCGAAACGCTTTTATAAGCATTTTTTCAGACTATGATCAATTTTCACCCGTAACGCCCCGTAACGCCCCGTAACGTCAAAAAAACCTATCTATTTCAGATAAAAACATAGGTTTTTTCCGATTTCCACCCATAAAAAATTATGGGTTAAAAACCGCCCCGTAACGTACCCGTAATTTACCCATAATTTCCCGTAATATACCCATAAAATTTTATGGGTGGAAATGAAAAAAACCTAGGTTTTTTTCCATTAAAATATGATATGTTTTTATAAGATTTTTATCGAATCTGAAAGGAATTTCACGGACCACATGGGCATCCTATCGGGTCATATCTAAAACTTTAGAGATGTCGTGAAAGTGAGCTATTTGGGGATTGCTTCCAATTAACAGCTGCCGCGTTGGACCTGCAGACTTGTCAATTAAGACCTGTACCAACGTGCTTTGGGGAGGAAAAAAGTATATTATATTACTGATTCACTGTCAGGATGCTTATCGAGCCCACATGTGCACCCAGCAAAGATTTGAAAGATTGTTCACAACATCATTTTTCTTAACATGGAAGCATTTGGCTTTGATTTTCCTGGTGTATATTTGTTGGGTTACCAAAGGGTTACCCAAAATAATGGCCTTCATGCGTGCGGCCACGGCTGCTTCGTTTCGAAGCAGAGCTTGGAGCACTGCTGAACTTGCTGATGGGTTATCCCATATCCTTCAAGACGGGCAGCTGCCAGATGATCCGAACGAGTTGAAGGAATCCGCTTTCCTTGGATGCGCAAAGATGAAGCTGGAACAACATGTGGGTGATAGGTTCCCAGATTCCATGTCATACCCTATATCGCCCTCAAAGTTTCGAACAAATATATAGTTAGTTTTCGGGATATGCTTTGGCTTGTGGCACAGAAAATTCTTGCAGATGGGTAATGTAGCGTTGTATACCAGTTGCTAATAGTATATCTCACTACATATCACTACATGTATCTGAATGTATCCTAGTTTGGGTTTTCCAGACCCTTCATGGTCCCCAGGAGTTAGAGGACGCCCTGGCTGACATGGAGCGCCAGCAAGAATCGGATTGGATCTCAGTATTCCCAACAAAATGATAGATAATTCTCATAGAATGCCAACAAAGTGTTATCAACAAATTTGTGTTTGACAATTCAACTTCTTCTTGAGGACAGTGCGAGGCATGCTGTGAAAACGGTTGTCTCTCGCCTCAATTTATGTTTGGCCTCTCTATCCTATTACTTGATTCACATGTTTGGAGATGGTCTTTTGAAACTGGGGATGTAATGGTATGTTTCGTCTTGCAGCAGCATGAGGCAACACCGCAGAACAATCAGAAGCCTGTGGGACCTGAAGAACCTTGCAATCAGGAGACCCAGCCAGCCACAGAGAGCCAGCTTTTGCAATACCAACAGACCATGAAAGTAGCTTCCTCCCCCGCGCGTTCTCGAGTGACTGCCAAAAGTTCAATTGGAGAAGGTGCTAGTTCCCCACCGGTTTTTTGGCTATGATCAATAGTTGTACTTGGTATCATGTATCAAGCCTTCAGGCCTGCTATATAACTTTGGGTATGGGCAGTATGTCTGTCTCATTCTGTGTCATTCTACTATCTTCACCCTTGTGCAAACCGTCCTTTTATGTGCACATGTCTTACCTTCTCGCCCGCGCTCTGAGGCTTATGATACCTTGGTGAACCTCTTCAAGGACGGCAAGCTTGATGCCACGACTGCCATGAAGATGATGGCTGGTATTTCGGAATCAGCCACCCCAAAAACTCCAAATTCGGAGACCAGTTCGGTGCCAAAAGCATCACAGGGTTCCAACACTGGGTTTGGGAAGAAACGGTCTCATGAAGAAGACCAGAGTGACGATGATGCAGCTTCTGATGACATGGAGTTGGAAGGTCCCAAATACTCTCGCCTGGATACTTTGCAAAATTCACTCACTCTTGATATATAGGTTCAACATTAGAATATTGGCATATACTAGCATCGACTTGTATTTTTCAAACGAAAAAACGATGTATCTCCAATTGTTTTTTGTTCCCAGGGTTGATTCTTTTTATTGTAAGATCAAGAAACCAAGGACCAAAAGACCAAAGCATCGCTCAAGGCGAAGTTGCGGCGCTTGTGTGAATTGAAAGCAGGGGTGCGCCTCCAGGTCCCTACTTGGCTCCACGAACAGTGGAAAAAGGGGGATCACTTGGCCATGGCTTTGAAGTATCAAAGCGCTGGCTTCAACAAGGAACCGCTTCCCGTCACTGTAAAGCAGCCAAGGTTCTCTCATAATCTCCAGGTCGAATAGAAAAGGGTAGATCTCATATACATGCTGCCTGCCCAGGACGAATTTGTCAAGACGTTGGAGAAGACATATACGGAGGTCGAGCGAAAGAAGAACAAGGTTTCTGTTGGTTGGTACTCTGAGTCTGATATGCAGACCGAACTCAAATGGAAAAAGAAACTAGAAGGCATTATAGTTCATCATAGTCTTGTGATGGCTTTCAACCAAACATACGTATATTATATGCTCGAATTCCAGAGAGCGGTACAGCTAGCCACCAATTCCCATGCATTCTTAGGAAGAAGATTGACGGGGCCATCGCCCTTTGCATGCAGGATGAGCTTAACCTTGTCAGGCTGGATACCCCAAATTTCTTTAAGATCTTTAAGCTTCTATTGATGGTCTTGCAGGCAAGCAAATGTGTCCAATTTAGGATTGACAACATGCCCCATTAATTTTGCCCAATGCTGCCGGGCAGGACTTGCAAGTACAGTGGCGAAACTGAGTACTGGGTTGAGATACGGGAATCTGGCGAAAAGCGACAACGTAAGGAAGTCTCTGAGGACCGATATGGTAGTTATACTGTTGGCCTCAAATGTCTATCCAACAAAGAATGCATCTGTTCCTGTAGACCTGTATGTTGTACTTCAGGGTATTTGGGACATATAGAAGCAATTATCCTTATTTCACACCAGCTGCAGGACAAATCCACCAAGCCGATGGGTGATGTGGATGTGTCAGAGCTCAACAAGATGGATGCTCGTTCAAAGGCTGTGGCAGCGGCTGGCACAGCCACGGCACAGGCCATGTTGTGAACCAACATTCCCGTTATATATTTCCAACATACCTGAAACCCACATTACTTTCATAATTAGTTATCCCATGTTCTCCCCCTGATTCTTTTCGGCATCTCTTCCAAGGGTACATCAACCCCTAAGTCATATGTCAGCTCCACTCAGGCATGTCGTGGAAAGCATGTGCTCACGAAGTTTTGCGACAGTGTGCTCACCCTTATCAGTGACTTGAGGAAGAACTTTCAAGATGAAACTGCGGATAGGTCTATGTCTTAGTCATTTTCTTTCATCCAAATTTAAATGTCAGACCCATTTCAACTTTTGAGCCCGGGCCTTCCAAACCCAATCCAATGCCCTCCAACCAGCCAGCCACATAGGTCGATTGCTGCCCTTGAAGGAGATCTCAATACCTTGGAGAAGAAGTACAACATGTGTTCGGAACATCTGGCTAAAGGTGAGACCGTTGACTTCAACAAAGAGTGGCCTAGCATGCAAACAGTTTTTTAAAAATGTCGCTGGACCAATCATGTTTGCAAAGAAACCAGGATAGCTATGATCTCTTTGTTGTGGATAAAACTGATGAGCAATTTGAGTTGTCACTGCTATCACACAGCTCCTCCCCAAAATCAAGGTGGACTACCGAATCGGAGCGGCTCATGAAGGAGAGCACTGTTGAGTGCCCTTGATTGCAACTTAAGCATCAGCACCATATGTAAGACCACAAGTTTCATGGATCATAAGAGCACATTGTGATACTTTAATGACATCTATTTATTATTTGCTTATGGGGGAAAGTTGGGGTCTTACAGGGATATGGTGATGGTGATTATGCCTATGCAGCTTCCCACCAAGGTGCACGAAGGTGGCGCAGAATGAGGCCAAGATCCGGCATCATCCTCAATTTTTCCTTGGCTGCATTGAGTTTGAGAGAGCACCCGAACAGCGTGGGCATCCATTCATTCGAACCAGATTCGGTTTTTTCCTGTTGTTGACACATTTCCATGGCATAAAAAATATTGTTTCTACCCTAGGAATGCCAAACGGCATTTTCAGAAGAAGGACAAGAAGGTGAAAGATGAAGAGGAAAATCCCTGATTTCCAATCATGGCTGAACCTGAGTGAACCTCCTAGCACTTGGGCTTTTCAAAATGTGGATTCATTACTGTGTTAAATGGACACAGTTGTAGTGGTGACCTGCGGCTACTTTGGGGTTCCCTGCCTTGCCAAGCGCATGTTCCAACAAAATCATTTCATATATGGTGACCTATACCCAAAAGAGTTATGATCACATAAACAAGAAGTTCCTTTTTTGATTTTATGTCTCGATTTTATCACCTTGATGTGGTGATTGCGCCTGGTTGAAGTACGCAGGCTTGTCGGATGGCGTCACAGGTTTCAACTCTTCAAGTAGCAGGAACCGACCAACTTTGGGGTGATTTGCGAAGGAAAACAACCAGTCCTCGAGTCTTTTGGATGGTTTCCGACTAAACCTCTTCCCCAATAGACATATCCCTTCCACTCAGATTTGGGGAGAACACCATGTGCCACTACCAGTTCTGCCAGGTGCTGGCCCAACAGCCAAAGTGTTCGCTGCAAATGTGGGCCTGGGAGTCGGGCCCTTGGATTCCATTACCCGGTGATTCTTCAAGGTTTCCAACCATTAAGCATTTTTGGGATCAGAACCAACTTCAGTTGATGTATTCGATTCCCGGCCAAGCCTTTGTTCAAGGGAGCTCCCAACATCTTGCTTCTAGCCCTCCCTCAAAAAATCCTCAAAATATAGTACAATGTCTTCATGTCTTCGATATAAATAAAATCTGTAATTTCATGGGATATAATAAGCAGAACATGTTATATAGACCTAAAATCACCAAAGGTGTACAAACAAAAAATCTTTTGGCATACAACCTTCAAATAATTGTACATAATTTGCTTACCCATCATATAATTAACATATCGAAACTTGTTCCCATCAAACCATCTAAGATCCATCTAGCAGCGGTGATGCTATCAAGCCATGGCGCCGACGGCGACGATTGGCTCATTGAGCTTCTCACCTGTCATCGGCCAGTGCCGTGGCTGGTGATTTGAGTTGGTAGCGTTGGGGTGTCACTCAATCTTTTGGGGCTTAGCGTTGAACGGTTTCCTTTCAGGCTTCACTGGGCCCATATGCTTGGCAAAAAGGACAACATGAAGGACACAAAGTATGTGATGCTATTTGTGGGCATGGTGTTCCTCTTCAACGGGGAGGTAGGAGCCGTAGCCCACCACGTGTTGTTTCCCGGGCTGAGTTGCAGCCACGATATTTACAAGATCCAGATCTTCGCAACTTGATTCGTACAACTGAAGTTTTTGCAGTGATTGAACAGGAAAAACATATGTCCTACAATCTCCCCAAGCCGGGGTCAACGGCAGGCAGAGTCCTTGCCCATGCAAGTGAAGTGTTTCAAAGTTTGATGAGGAAGCATTCCCCAATGGTGTTTAAGTTCGGGATCACACACTGTCCCCGATTCCGATGGTATCACAAGCCTTGGGGATACCAACATTCCATTGAAAGATTCGAACACATGATCATTGTGTTTGCCTCTTCAAGCACTGTCGCCCCTGCCTACGTTGAAGCTGCGCTCATAGACAAGTTCAGCAGTTCCCCGGCCGACCATTCACGACAACGCCGGAAACATGAGTAGAATGAAATGTATGCAAAACATTGCACGACTATGTTTTCGTTTTGCTAGTTCCAGTGCTGACCTACTCATCAGAAATCAATTTGTTGAACCCAGGTTTGCAGGGATGCAAAAATTACCTATCTGGCGGTGACTCGAGTAGCAAAGGCTTTGAGGGTCAAGGGCCATTCCTGACTTACATAGTGTACAGGTCTTTCAAGTATCCTCCTCCTGTTCCCCAATGATTTCTTGGCTCAACAAGAGCCGGCAATTAGCTCTTTCTTAGCGTGTGAACATGTATTGATGAATGCATGTTGGCGTTGACATCTTGTTTAGAACAAAATGCTTGAGTTTCAGTGAGGGGAAAAAGGTCACGAGCGAATGGTTCGAGACACTCGCACCTGCATCGGCACAACCATGGTGCGCAAAGCACTTCCGATCCACCCATGAGAAATAAGTATTGATACAGCCAAATAACACCCAACTTATATAATTACTATCCAGAGTCCTATCCCCATTCATCCCATGTGCAGGTTTGTATTGTCGCGCGCTGAGGCTTCATGCTCTTCCCAAATCAACACTGCAAGGGCGGTGACGTCAGAGATGGGGGAGGATGTTGCCAGAAAGTCAGGAATTCATGATTGGGCTAAAATTCTTGACAAGAACAGTGAAAGGGACGTGCACCGAGTCGTGAACAAGCACCGCACAAAGTTGAATATAGCCATTAGTGAACTTGATGTTCAAAGTCAAAAAGTGCCATGGATTAGCCCCAGGGCTTGGCTTCTGTTCATCGTTACGCATGGCTTGATGTACATGATGTCTGGGTTGCGCTATGAAGAGAAACATTTGGTGGGAAGAATTTGGGAACAATTTTGGATACAGTACGAACCCTTGCATCCGGATTTTGGTTTTTTTGAGCATCAGAATATTGACTACAAAAAGACTGTGGCTCTTTTTGTGCATGGAGACGAAGGCAGGACTTTGAAGAGAGGAGGCGTGATGGTTACATCCATCCAGTCTGTCCTGGGAACAGGTTTTGACCAAACAAGGTTGAAACGACCGAGGGACATGGACGACACTGGAAAACTTCATGTCAATTTTGCTGGTCATACGTTTTTGACACGATTTGTTGTCTCAGTGATTCCCAAGACGGAGTACCAAAGCAATCCTGATTATTTCCACGATGCCATGGATCTTTTTGCACAAGAGATGAAAGATTTACTAGAAAACGGGATTACTGATGCAGCTACAGGAGAGGTGTGGAGATTCGTAGTTGTGGGTGTCAGACGGGTGACATGCCCTATCTTCAAAAGATTGGAAAATTTAGAAAAGATCCTGGAATACTACAGTGAAACGGGCTAATGCACGAACCGCTCCCCGTGGAGTTTGTCACTTGTGTTTCAATGCCAGGGATCCTGAGATATCTGACAGATCCCATCCGGGATCATTCCTGCAACCTGACCGGCATTGCATCCATCTTGCTATTGGAAAAGCTTTTCTAGCATCAACACGAATCAACACTACAAGTTGCTTTGGAAACAGTTCCTGCTAGCAATGAGGAACGCTTTCAATGGTTGACCAATCATTACCATCAATGGTGCAGATCTGTGAAGAGATCATCCTATGTTGCGAAAATTACAGCTTACCTGGCTTCCTATGGGGATGGCCCGGGGGCTACAGGAAATTGGTCTAAAGGATCACTCACTACGAATTTGGCACGACGGTTGGAAGTGTTACTCAATGACCTTGGAGGGGATCAGGAAGGGCTACTCACCATCTGTGGGGAAGCGATCAAACAATTGAACAATGCCTTGAGTTTTCTTTACAATGCACCTCTTTTCTTGGAGAGACTTGAGTGTGAGTATGTTTGCAGCCGCGGCATGTACTTTGTCCAAACCTACAGCGCATTAGCCTCCAAATGCTTTGCCTTGAACCGCTCACATCTATATCCACTCTTTCCAAAACTACATGCTGTTCACCATATTTTTTTGACCTTGCACCAGCAAGCAACCAATCATGGGTATGGGGCAAATCCACTGGCAGCAAGCTGCCAGCTGGACGAGGATACTATAGGGAGAGTTGCAAGAGTTTCGAGAAGAGTTTCGAGCATACTTGTTATTCGAAGGACTCTACAGCGCCGTTTGATGACTTCATGGCAAGTGTGGAGGGATGCAGGGTTGCTGCGATGAAAGAAAGTGCGCGCTCTTGTGTGTGCAGAGGTTGTTTGGGAAGAGTTTATATGCACATGGGATGACCTATTATTCCTCATTCTCAACATTGCCAAAGATGTGATTTTGGATAACCTGGTTAATTTATAAAAAAACTTGGTTTTTTTCTTTACCCCAAAAAAAAGAAGGTTTTGGAGGCTGTAGGTATATATATACATGTGTTTGTGCGATCGCCTCCTCGGAATCGGACAGGGTGTATATCCTTGGGCGATCGTGACAGGACAGGACGCCCTCAGGGCGACAGCTTTCACAGGGGCAGCTTTCACGAGACACATTCAGCCCTTGACGCATCGTAGAACTCTTCCAATTCCTGGAGCTTTGAGAGAGTGAACTCGACACTTCAAGCTGAATATTATGTATATATATATATTTATATATATATATATGTATAATGTATATATATATATATGACCAGCACTTAGAATATACTTTTTTGAAACAAACAGAAAGAGAATATGGAAAAAAAACAATCGATTACTCCTTGCACTTAGAATATAGTTAGAACCTTGCACTTAGAATATTTTAAGAACACTCTTAAGAAAACATTGTAAAAAAAACAATATTTGTTTGCACTTAAGATATGAAAATCCTTGCAAAAATCAATGAAAGCTAAAAAACCGATGAAAACATCGATGAAACCAATAAAAACTATGAAAACACTCATAAATCCCAATGAAAATCCTACCGTATATGCTGCCTTGGCTTTTCTTTGGGTGTCATTATGTTGCATTTGTTTTCATTGGTGTTCATTATTTGTTCATTGGTTTTTCTGGTGTCATATGTGTTTCTTTGGTGTTCATTGTTGTCTTCATTTGTTTTTCATTGTTATTGAGTCCTTCTCCTTTGGTTTTCTTTGGTTTTCAGCATTTTTCATATGTTTTTCATTGGTGTTCAGCAATTGTTCTTTGGTGCTTCATTGGTGTCCATTTGTTTTTCATCGGTTTTCGTTTGTGTTTCTTTGATTTCCGTTGGTTCTTCTTTTGTTTCTCATTAATGTGTCTTTGGTTTTTTGGTTATCATTTGTTTTTGGTTGGTTTTCATTGTTTTTGTTTTTTCGTGTGTACGGATTGCTCTTGGCTTTCTTTGGTCTTTCTTTGGTGTCCATTGGTTTCTCTCTGATGTTCATTTGTTTTTCTTTGATGTTCAGTTGTTTTTCTTTGCGTTTAATTGTTTTTCCTTAGGTGGTTCTTTGGTTTTCTCTGGTTGTTGGAACCTCCAAACTTCCAACGAATAGGATGAGGATGAGGATGAGGAAGCTAACAAAGAAATTTCATGTGGTGCGTCCAAAAGCTTTTTCGCGTTGTGGGAATTCTATTTGCCGCTTTTAATTTCGGTTTGAAAAGAGCAAAAAAACATTGCACTTAGAATATAAATACAGAGCACCCCATCTCAAGTGTTAGTTTGAACCTTCAAGTACCACAGGTGCAACAGGATGGACGTCACAACTTGGGTTTTTGCTTGGTTTGTCTTTTGAGCTTCTTTAGTTTTCTTTTGTTTTCATTAGGTCCTCTTTTGGTTTTCTTTGGTGTTTTTTGACTTTGCTTTTCATTGGTTTTTCTTTGGTACCCTTTGGTGCTCATAGGTTCTTCGTTGGTTTTGTTTGGTTTTCATTAGTGTTTCTTTGGATTTTATGAGGTTGCCATTGTCTTTTTTTGAGCACCCTTTGGTATTTCATTGGTTTTCTTTTGTTTTTCATTGATGATGATGTTCACGATGATGGTGAGGAAGGTAACCAGTGAGAGTTTTTCACGAACACCAGAGAAACACGAATTAAAACAGATGAAAAATCAATGCACGCCAATGAGAACACAATGAAAAACCAATGAAAAACAAAAGAAGACAGTGAAAACAAAAGAACCACCAATGAAAAATCGAAGAAACCAAAGAAACACAATGCAGTTGATGTTTTTCATACTCTAAGTGCAACGCGTTTCCTCAGTTTTTGCAACTAAAACCAATTTTTAAAGGCCTTAAAAAAACTTTAAAAATGTATTCTAAGTGTATGTTTTTATATTCTAAGTGAAGGACACTTCGAATATGATTTATAGTCTAAGTGCTAAACCAGGCCACACTTTGAATATATTTTAAACTATATTTAAATATATATATATATATTCCAAGTGCTGGTCCACCACTGCATATATTATTGTATATTGTATTGACTTACTGGTGCTTAGTAGGGATTGGGGAATGATCCATAACAACTAGTAACCATCATTCCACTCCCTCAGTGCCAAATCGCTCCTGCAGTCTTCTTGTAAGGCCGCGGTTCGCGGCCTGTGTCAGCGCCAAGTTCTGATCCAAGTTTTGGACCTGCAGCATTAGCGGCTCACTAGCGCTGCTGCGACATTTCACAAAATCTCTCAGGCAACCTGCCAGAGTCAGCGCTAGTGCTGCATGTGTCTTATCGTGTTTTATCTTAGCATATCTTGGCTGCCTTATCTTTCAACGAGGCGTTTTCCTTGCGCGCTTCCTCGAGGGCGGAAAGCACCTCGGCCATGGTCGAGCCCATTCAGACCCTAATCAGAACAACCTGCCTGGTTTGTAAACATCCTAGAGTTGGAATGTGGAGTCGACACATCATGACACATCCACTATTGCATCCATGGCTCGTTGTCGCGAACGACTTCCAACTGGCCTCAATTCACAAAAAGAAAAAACGACCACGCGGCCACTCAGGATTTAAGACTTTAAGAAATACTGCCCATACTGATGAAGGTGACCTATCAGTCCACCATGCCCTGTGAGTCGCCGTGTCAGTCATGAGACGCAGGTAACGTCTTCCAAGGCACTGATTCGCTTGAGGAGCTGCGTATTTTCTGCCTCCAACTTGGTCATGCCCTGCTTCAAGTCCTGAATCATTTCTATCATTTTTCTATCTAAGTCTCAAAGAAAACTCCAAATGCTCCAAGTGGTCCAAGTGGTCCGCTTGGTCCAATATTGTCCAATTAGTCCAATGTCCTCAACCTTGGCAAAAATCGAATAATCGAATGGATCAACACTGGCAAATGTCTTTCAACTTGTGCTGATTGTTTCAGATGCGTCCTGCTTTTTCTTGGCTTCTTCTTCAGCCTCCTGCCGAGCTTGCCTGCATGCAGTCACATGCAGCACAGTCATGGAGTGACAGCCATTACAAAAGGATACAAAAGGATCAGGACTATGCAGAACAGCGGACAGAGCTGATTATATGTGATTTTGCAGGATTCCGTCAGTTCTATTCAAGTTCTTTGGAAAATTGCATACTTCAAAAGGCCAAGTGGCTGAACCATCTCTTCCAATCTCTGGACATAGTTGCGCAAGTTGTCACGATCCACCTACGGCCCATCCAAAGCAGGGCACGTGATATAAGTGTGAAGGGAGCAATTTGTCATTTCGGTTCAGGCATGTGACCATTTGGGGAAATGCTGAGAATAGTGTCAAAAATTGCTTAAGAGGGTTTAACACCATGACCATTACTGCAACAGCTTATACAATCTACAAACACTAAAAGTAGTCACACCTTGCATATTCTTGGCAAATCTTCTGAACCATCTCAGGTATCAGCCTGCAGCTTTTCGTTGGAGACCCGCGACACCTCCAGCTGGTCACTGATGCTGCTGCGCGTCTCCTCTGCAAAGTGGCTTGCAACGAGTTACATCATCACAGCACATATCATTATATCACAGTTACAGGTCCATCTAAATGCACATGTTCAAAAAAAAACACAGGGGAACGGACCAATTACCCAGTTAAGCTTTCAAAATCCCTTCAAAAACAATCTAAATGCACAAAATCCTCCTCAACCAAGTTGTCTTCCGGCTGAAAACATCTGGTTAACATGAAGGCCAACATGAAGGTACAAAATGGTAGCTTCACAGATTTTAGCTCCAAAAAGCAGCAAATGGCAGGGAAAGTTGCTCCAGACTGAAAAAAAAATAAAGAAATATACCCTCCATTAACTAACCAAGTTCTTGGGGATGGTAGTAGTTTGCAACAATGCAGTGACTCTGGTGCGCGGGTCAGGTCAATCATGGTCAATCTTACTTAGCATTGATGAAACAAGTAAAAGGTCAATCATCTTTAACAAAACCTGCGCCAGTCGGTGTGAATCGACACATGCCTCTGAATTTGGGGATGTTGCAGCCTGAGACTGCAATGTAAAATAATGTGAATATGTACAGCACGTGACATGTGCAGAAATATCTGCCGTCTGGTGAAACCCATCATTCTCTTGGTATCATATACATACATATCGAGAAATCCGGCAGTACGGTGCTCACCAAGACCCTCCCATCCCCTCCAACCTCTTGAGGCTCGTGGGCTTCCTGTGACAGAGGCCGATTTAATGTGAGTGCGAGAACTGGGTGAATCTTTCTCTTTCCACGACCAAAACCATAGGTGAAGGGGGATGGGAACTCTGAAACCGATGGGAACAAACGGAATGGATCCGGATGGAAACAAATGGCAACAAATGGAAACAAATGAAAATGTATGAATGAATGTAACCGCACTTGAAACTTGGCAAGGTTTCCACCATGCAAGGCTTGGGAATGGGGAAGCGGAAAGAAAACCGGACCCGGAGCCTCGGCTGCTTCTGCAGCCTGGCCATTTTCTGGCGTTTCTGTGGGCTCCTGTAGTCAACAAACATGATCGATGCTTCAAAACTTGCTAGATTGCCATCAGTTCTTGTATGGGCAATCAATTGTAATCCAAGCCCTGGAAAGACACAACAACTTTACTTCACAAATCCGCCCACACCGCTTTGGCGGTGAAGGCGTGCTTATTGGGGGGAAACAGCTACACTAAATGCTCAATCACATTTGTTAATATAGCAGTCGCTATATCAGCTTTAGCTGGGGGGGGGCAAAAACGGTTTCGCACCGAGACCAGGCCCCAAAAACGGTTTCGCACCGAGACCAGAATACGGTGGTGTTTTCGACATTTTTCGAGGATTTTTGGGTGTCTGAGCGCAAGAGGGTATTGAAATGGAATTTTGGGTCATTTTGGTAGCTTTCCGGCAATGGAAAAACGGCCAAAAATGAAAAAAACATTGTACATAGCAAGATTTTGCAGGGTTTTTGGATGCCAGAGCATTGAAAACACTGCAAAAACAAGTGTTTTGGACTGACGTTATAGCAAAAAACGTGTAAATTACCGTATGCTTGACTGGAAACATTACAAAAACACTGTCAAAAGCAATGTTTTGGAAGGATTTACTGCCTTTATGGCAAAAAACGTGTAAATTACCGTCTGTTTGACTGGAAACATTGGAAAAACACTGTCAAAAACAATGTTTTGGAAGGATTTCTTATATATATGTTGGAGTTGGCTACCGGCATTGGCACATGGAAAAATTGAAGAAAACACTGTAAATAGCGGTATTTTCAACGGTTGGGGAGATAAGGGAATTGGAAGCATTGTCGAACATGATGTTTTCGACCGGTTTTATGGCGACAAAAGTGTAAAGTACCGTGCTTTGAAGGAAACCATTGCAAAAACATGGAAACACATTCAAAGAACACGGGATTTGGGGGACTATCTAGGCGTCGTTGTCTAGCTATTTGAAATTCCGCAGCTTGGAGAGCCTCCAAGGGAGGGAAAAGTGAAAATTCCATAGCTTGGGAAGCTGTCACGGCGGGGAAAAGTGAAAATTCCCTAGCTTGGGAAGCCCCCACGGGGGGGAAAAGTGAAAATTCCCTAGCTTGAGAAGCCCCCACGGGGGGGAAAAGTGAAAATTCCCTAGCTTGGGGAGCCCCCACGGGGGGGAAAAGTGAAAATTCCCTAGCTTGCGGAGCTACACGGGGGGGAAAAGTGAAAATTCCCTAGCTTGGGGAGTGTCACGGGGGGGAAAAGTGAAAATTCCCTAGTTTGGGGAGCTCCCACAGGGGGGAAAAGTGAAAATTCCCTAGCTTGGGGAGCCCGCACGGGGGGGGAAAGTGAAAATTCTTAGCTTGGGGAGCCCCCACGATGGAAAACCACCCTTAGCCCCTTTCACGGACCGAAATAAACCTGCGGTGTGGGCGGCCACCCCACGCGAAGCGGGGTGAATACTCATCAATTGGGGTTTCAAGGCACGCCCACACACTGTGTTTCAAAGGCACGTCCAGAGTTCGGACTGCTCGATGTAAGTTTCCGGACCAGGTCCCAAGGCTCGCAGGGCTCCTGTGAAGTCGTGGTGTTTGGCTGCGTTTTGTCAGCCTCGAATGGCTGGAAAAGCTCGAAATCAGGCCTGGTGTTGATCCCTCTATACTTTCCAACTCATCGCCTGAATATAGTGACCTGTTAAACGTACAACCTAGAAAATCCATGAAAGCGCAAATAAAGTAACTAGTTATTCGGCTTCATTTCACCTAGTTTCTAGTACGAACAACAAAAAGTTAGGTCTTAATGCATATTCTTGGGGCAACTTCCAAACAAACAAAAGACAACATTTTTGTATACGGGAACGGGCAGCGAACTCATTCTGAACGTGTTTTGAACTGGGTTTGAACTCATTTGAACGGGCACTGGTTTGAACGTGTATGGCTAAACTAAAATGTTGCCTTTTCAGGATAGGTTTGAATGGGTTTAAACGCTTCTGAATGGGCTTGTACTAGGTCAACAGCTTCGAACGCACATTCCTAGGACGCCCTCCGACATTCTAGGGCACATTGCAAATAACTGGCTATTCAGTTTCGCGCTAAGAACTCTTAGGTTTTAGGTTTAGCAGGGGTATATAGCAGTTGCTCGAATAAATTGCACCAAAAAGGCAGACTTGGGGTCTCGAAAGGATCTCATTTCAATGGCCCCAGACTCACCCAGTACCCTCGGTGTCTCAAGGACCTTCTCATTTTGTTCAGGCTGCAGCTCCTGGCGGACAACTGAGGGGGCATTGGAGTCACATCGCTGATCGGGTTGAGACTGTGCCTTTCCCTGTAAAATGCCAACAAGGAACAGAACCATGAAAACTGGGATGACTGTACTCAGATGAGAAGAAACTGAAGAGTACAGTACGCCAAGGTCACGACGCCAAGGTCTCAATTTCATGGGGGATGACGAACTGTCCCGCCCTTCCACATCATCAGCACCCCGATGCCCCCACTCCTTCTGAGCCTTGGCCTGGGAAGCCTCAGGACCAGCCTGACATGTCATGCAGCACCATGCAGCACCATGCAGCACCATCCAGTGATGGCTTTAAAATTTGGGGTCCAAAAAGCCCTTCCAAAAAGCAAGGACCAGTAGAAATTCCAATCTCTTTACACTCAAAGCAACTGGTGACTTTCAGCTGAATCTTTTGAGCAGCACAGCAACCGTGGATGCTTTGAGCAGCACAGCAACCGTGGATGCTTTGTCTTAAAGTGATGTTTAGTTGACAGACCCCCAACTGTCCAGACATGTCCAGACAAAGACTGAATAGAACTTGCGGCATGAATCAACCTGCCTGTTCCGCATGTTCCACCAAGGCATCTGCTACTGTGTCCAATATCGAATCAGAAGGCGCTTCTTGGGCCTGTCACCAAGGAGCACCATGCTTTGAAAAGCTTCAAACATGTCATGTAAAAGATGCTTGAAAAGATGCTAAAACATGTTAAAACTAACTCCATGAAGGCCTGCAACATGGCGGAATGCACCAACTTACTGCACCACAAGCCGATTACGTTGTTCTGGTGCTCACTCTTCTTGGGCCTCGCCATCTATGGGGGGCAGTGGTTCTTCTGACTTGCCCGCTGGTGCTTCCTGGTGCCACTTCAGCAAGATTTTGGATCCATTCATCAGACAGGACTGCGATAAGAATAAAGCTGGGGCACATTCCAAATGTCCAAGGCAAAAGCTACTGTGTGTATCTGTATATCTGTATATCTGTATATCTTTGTATCTTTGTATCCTTTTGTTTCCAGGAGACCCGTCCTGCTTTGGACTTTGTGCCGGCAGTGCACCATTGATCGGCGGCAGCGTGATCTGGGCCTTTTTCGTCTCGTCGTCCTGGCTCTGGGGCATGTTCACAACATGACAGAGGACGGTGATACGATTGAAATCAATATGATGGTTTAGAGGAAAACAAAATACATCACCCAGCAAGCAGCAGTTTCAAAACAATTTATGTGGTTCCTGCAAATTTGAGATGTTCTTGTTGATGCAACAAACAATGATCATTCAGTCAGGACAGCCTTCGGACTTTCACTTGGAGGGGCAATCGGTGGCAACACAGCACTTTCCGCAGTGGTTGGCGGCAGATTGCCCTGCATGAGCGAACGTGTCAGAACCATCACACAAAGGCCATCTGGGATGGACTTTCTCATGTTGGATCAGGACGGTCAGGGTCAACAACCGTCATTTGAAAATCAGCGAAGCGCCAAGTGACCGGTGAGACCGGTGATTCCAGGCAAACACCTATATACGACCCCTAAATATCCGTAACTGCATATTGCATCATATTACTGTGGCAAAAGAGAAGTTACAAACCAAACGAGGTACAGTCTTGGTACGATTTCATGGGACGCTTAGCCTCACTGCAAGAGCGAAATGGTGACACCAGTGGACCAAGATTTGCGCCAAAGGTGCCATTGAACATCATCCATTTTCGATTGGGATTTTCCATGAAATAAACCATCCATTTTTATTGGGCTATCCCCATGACTATGGAAATCCCCACATTGAAGCATCTGGCTATGCCAAGCTCAGCTTGGCCGGCCATCCCGGATCCGCTACGCCCGTCAATGATTACAGTATTACTTTGATTCAATCGGGATATTGAAATGTTATTCAACCAAATCATGGAAGCCTATCAAGGTCTATTGACTAAGGTTCACCAGCATTGCCACTCAAAGATACTAAATTATACTCAAGTCAGTTCTTGTCAGAGGTTGCCTGCAAAACAGCTCGGCCGGCTGAAACATCCACCTGCTCAAGCACTGGTGGAGGTGCCACGGATGGTTCAGTCGGTGCCGCAGCATTGCTCACGGCAGCATTGTTGACCTGGGAGAAGACTTGCTACACTGCGAAGTTGGAACTCTAGAAAGCTACTGAGCTACTTGAAAAAGATCTTTAAAGTATACCCTCTGGTAAATTAACATAGACCCTGGCAGATGGGGGTTGGAAGACTAGTTTCCATTGGAAATTGGTGATTTTCAGGGTCTATGTTTATTTACCAGAGGGTATATCAAAGAATCGCTGGGAGATGTCAAGCAAGCGACTCTAAGTTGGAGAAAAAATTGCCAATGGGAACAGAGTAAAAAAAAACACTGATGAGGTAGTACTAGTATGCACAAACCCGTGTCCATATCACCAGTTGTCATTGGCCCTAGAAAAACTGAAATTCTATCATTCTGTTCCCTTTTCTGAGCTGTGGTTTCAAGCAACTCATGCTTTTGAGAGTAGCCAAGGCAAGTTCACAGCATTGTATTCTTATCATCGTTTTGGCGGTTTATCTTGATAAGTGCATACCATGATATTCTGATCAAAATTCATCGTCCTTTTGATTTTGAAGCTTAAAAAAAACCTGGGGGAAAACTGGAAAAACATCACGATGGTTAGAAAAATCACACAGCATCATACCAAATGGTCCTAAAATGTCCCACTAAACCACGGTTTCTGGTGGCTGTTCAATGGAAAAAGGGGACAATATCAAACAATACCCTCTGGTGAACGTTTACATAGCAATGGAAAGATCCACCATTCTTAATGGGAAAATCCACTATTTCTATAGCCATTTTCCATTGCTATGTTAGTTCACCAGAGGGTATCAAACAATACAGTCCCCAAATGGTGGATGTTCATGGATTTATATGGATTTTCCATTGGGAAGATACAGAAATCAAGCAACCCCAGGTTGTGGCTCTAATGGTCCCTTTACACGCGGACCCGCACCTGGCCCTGCCATTGGTTTCCTTGCCATTGGTTGCGGCCCTGGGGCAGTCAGACTGCCTTGGATCTTGGGTTCTTTAGATTGGATCACTCGCAACACCTGATGTGCCTATGATAAAATATGATAAGAATCTAAGACACAAGCTAATGTATGCTACTGTTAGATCAGATTAGATGCAAGCCCCTAATTCTTGTTTAATAAAATGCAACATTCCTGCATGTGCAGCAATTCACCATAGTCACTAGCGAAGCATGCTGTTGCTTCATACAAAACCAGCCGTTCCAGCAGTCCGGGAAGAGCAGACTGGGAGTATCTTTGCGGGGTGATTCATTTGCCAACTATTTACCCTCTGGTAAACTAACATGACTATGGGAAATCACCATTTTTAATGGGTAAATCCACTATACATGGGCCATTTTCAATAGCTATGTTAAATTGCCAGAGGGTACCGTAACTATTGTTCTGTTCTCCAAGTAATGCAGTGCACCCAATCAAGAAATCATCCTCAATTTACAAGACACTGTGGTAGTACAAAACATCCATGAAAGGTTTATCTTGTTGGGTTTACCATATTAATCCTATCCCTTAAGATCAAACACCCCCAAGAACCATGGTTTAATAGAATATATCTGGTTGGTGGTTTTAACCATCTTGAAAAATATTAGTCAATGGGAAGGATTATCCCATATATTATGGAAAAAAAACAATGTTTGAAACCACCAACCAGATATATATATATATAATTATATACAGTACACATATTTGGTACCATGTTGGGGGTGTTTAATATGAAGGAGACGCCATGTGGGTCACTTGGACCCTGCTATCTCAACATATCAAAAAACCTCCGGCATCGGACCCTCGGACCCCTGCCTGACATCCCATGCCACAACCGCCACAAGCCATCTGGTTGTAGCCTGTCTGCTGGTATCCCATCTGGTTGCAACCCATTTGGTTGCAACCCATCTGGTTGCAGTTCATTTGGCTCCAGCCGTAGCTGCCATCACAGCCGTACCTCAGGTCGTTGCAAGGGCCATAGAGGGCAGCTATATCAATGGACATGAAATTCAGGTGGTGAAACATGTGTTGCAATTGTAAATCACTTTTTTCGTCAGCTAAATATCAAGAGAATTCTAGATACAGATATGGCCTATTTTTTTTAGGGATGATAATCCAGTCAGTGCTTCGCAGATGACGCTGGTTAGTCACAGCTATGTCACGATCGAAAGTCCTGGCTATGCTTGGCTATGCCATGGTCAACTGGTTGGTGGTTTCAACCCTTCTGAAAAATATGAAAGTCAGTAGGGAAGGATTATCCCCAATATATGGAAACATAAAAATGTTCCAAACCACCAACCACTCATTCTAGTAAGCTATGTAGGTAGGACTCCCTCCTTATGATGACAATGGATATACGGGTTTGTCTGAAAATTGGAACCCGAAATTTGATGCATGGATCATCATGTTTCCTACTGTTTGATGCCCATTTTCGGGCATATCACATGTTCAGAGATTTTCAGACACACATCAATGGCAGAAGGTTCTTACCCCATGGGGTTTGAAGCATCATCTTAAAACAACTCAGCAACTCAGGCGAGTGAAGTATCTTATAGTGGCACCTCAGGCGCACCTCCACTGAAGTGGCCAATCCATATTTATGGCAGAACATGGGTGTGTCTGAAAATGAGGTATGCCATATAACATCATATAACCTGCAGAATTTACCCCTATTTTCACTGGGAAAAATGATGATGTGACGTGGATTTTGGTTTCTCCTATTTTGGTACCCAGATGCTGTCCCTGCCAGCTGTAATCTTCATAGCCATATAAGGACATATCTTCGTAGGCCGTGGTCCATTCCTCCTTCACTTCGCCTCAAACTATGACGTGGCAATTCGAGTGGGAACAATAAACTAAATATGGAGGTGTCCTAAATTAATGGTACCCCCAAATCATCCTAAATTAGATCACTTTAGTGATAACATCTATGGTTTTGGGGATCCTGCATATTAAGAAACCCCCACATATATTGAGTCACTCAATTCAGTGCACAAAATGTTCAGACTAACCCCAATCTGCACCCCAAAAAGTGGCGGTGGTTTCAGCTGCCGAAAAATCTCACATGGTTGATCGGAGATCATCATCACAACAATTGTCGAACATGGTGGCTGACCTACCCCTCTGAAAAATATGAAAGTCAGATTGGATCATCATCCCAACTATTGGGGAAAATAAAAAATGTTCCAAACCACCAAGCAGTTGTTGAACATGGCTAAGAATGACACCACAAAGCTGACTGAAACATGACTCCATGAGAACCGTAACTTTTGATGTGTTGGAATCATGAAGGCACACCAAACGTGGAGGCTTCAGAATCTGAAATCCAACATCATCACATGTGTAATTACTCGATCTGGCACCCAATTTGGAGACATACCACAAAACAATCTGCTTTTCATGCATCTTATCCCCCCCGTGTATAAGGAGAAATCGTTAGTTTGACCCAAGACTTAAGTGCGTAAATCATCTGAATCCCAATGTTCCGCTTAAATCCCACTCAGTGGGTTCTCCAAATTCCCGATGCTTCGTTCCCCATGTTTGTTTCGCACCCCCAGAATCAGTAGATAGACAAGCTAAGCGGCTAAGGAAAACTCAACATATCTCTAAATCATATCATCTAGATATCCAGTTTTGCGAACTATATAACCATATCAATTACACTCATAATAAGGATGTGTCCTAAGTCATGGGGGTATAGCTGGATGGTTTTCGGGACGCCCAAGCCCTAGTAACTCCACAAAAAGATAGAAGTTGGTAAAATCCCAAGAAACAAATAGTGGTAAATCACTGTTCTGTTGTTTTTTTTTCTGAGGGTACTGTTGTTTCTATTCATCTTCAGTATTCCTTAAAGCTGTAATAAAAAAAACAAACAACAACAACAACAACACCAACAACAACAACACCAACAACAACAACAACAACAACACCAACAACAACACCAACAACAACACCAACAACAACACCAACAACAACAACAACAACAACAACAACAACAACAACAAGAACAACAACAAGTTTTTAAGACATATTCCATTTTCAGTATACCTATTTTCAGGATAAACCACCATTCATATATTCCAGAAAGTTCTTTGATAAATATTCCCAACTATGAAACAATGGGATAACATACAGGATTTTCCATAAAAAGTATAGGCTATTCTCGGTCTTCCACCATTCCCAAACAGGTTTTAAACAATCATAAATAGTTCATGTTCTCTCAGTTTTATCCAGGAACCACCACTTTTTGTTGTCCAAAAATAAAAAACCCACCACTTTCTGATTTTCAGGAAATTCCACCACTTTCTCTCCCAAGCGATCCCGGAACCCAGTGGACCCAGTGGCTCTTCTCGGGCTTCTCTACAGGCCCATTGCGTTTGTAGGCGGCGGCCACCGCTGCGGCGATCTTCTGCTTGATGGACAACTGCTTCTCGGAGGGCCTTGAGTTGGCACATACTGGGCATAGGGGAACTAAGCGGTTTGGTAGTACTTATAGTGGTGATAAATAGTACACTGGCTGGGTATGTATATACATACTATATATATATGCAGTGGTCAATAGTGATTAGTAGCGTTTAATCACATGATCAATAGGAATTAATACTGGTGACATATATAGTTGTTCATAGTGGATATTGGATAATACGGGCACAGTGATATAGCTGGTAAAATGTGATTGTATAAGAATTTTGGTCGAAAGTGTGAATGTGGAGATCTAATGATAATCATACACAGTTATGAGAGACGATGGCTTGGTTCATACACAACATGGACAGTAATGGCATTTAATGGGATAGTCGATGGGATATCTAATGGGATCTATATATATATAATGGGAAGTTGGTTGGCAATATGGGGATGGATGGATGGATGGACGGGCGGACGGACGGATGGATGGATAGATAGATAGGATAGATAGATAGGATAGGATAGGATAGGATAGATAGATCGATAGATTGATAGATCGATAGATCGATAGATCGATAGATCGATAGATAGATAGATTGATAGATTGATAGATTGATGGATGGATGGATGGATAGATAGATAGATGGATGGATGGATAGATAGATAGATTCTATAGATGGATGGATGGATGGATAGATCGATAGATAGATAGATAGATAGATGGATGGATGGATAGATAGATAGATAGATAGATAGATAGATTCTATAGATGGATGGATGGATGGATGGATAGATAGATGGATGGATGGATAGATAGATAGATGGATAGATAGACAAATAGACAAATAGAAAAATAATGAAGAATAAACATCCAAATTATAGTCAGTTGTTATATAATAATATATATATACACCTCGGGTATATCACAAATCACAGATGGTATGAATGGATAATGTGGTTGTTACTGAAACCGGATGCACGTCGAAGTGAACCAACAAAACTTCAGGAAGTTGACCACATAGTTGGGTATTCCAAGTTCCATTGGAATGCCTTTGGTCACTGAAAATCAAAACGGGCCACCAAAGCACTCAATAAAGAATATTATCTAGTATATATATATAATATACAACCATGGGGATTGATATGAACCAGGACTTTAGGGGATTCAAAATTGGGCCTCAGAAAACCGCACTTTTTCTTCCAAACTACCGAGTCTTTCTTTTTTTAGCTCAATAGTGGAATTGTTCATCCCTTTTAACAGGTGAATCAATGTCTGGTAATTCATCTATAGGATTACAGAATAGTTTTAAAAAAAATCAAACATCCAAACAGCTAAATAAGTTGGTCATGTTCCACGATTTTTACCCTCTGGTAATTTAACATAGCCATTTATAGTGGATTTACCCATTGAATATGGTGATTTTTCATAACTATGTTAGTTTACCAGAGGGTAGATCATTTTGCCAACTATAGCTGGGAACACCATTGTTCGGTGTTCTCCCACGAAATGTGGCCGAGACCAAGGATGCAAAAATCGCTAAGTTGGCATCTGGTTGATATGCATCCTTATGATATGATATGCTGTATATATTATTAACAAATATATATATATATATACACATATACATATACATATACATATACATACACATATACAGATACATATACATACACATATACATATACATATACATATACATATACATATTCACATCATATCATATCATATTATGTTAGATTCCATTATATATATATATGTGGCAGGGACCTTTTGGTATAATGCGACCGTCCTCCTTTCTGATCCCATTTGTTTCCATACTTGTCTCCTTGTCTGTTCCCAACTTGTCTCCTTATTTCTCTATCTCCATTGCGATTCTTCTCTCTGGGCGCTTTCGGTCAAAGGAATCTCCTTGTCTCCCGTTCCTCACTTCTCTCTCCATTGCTCAGTGTTCTTCGTTCTGGTGGCTTTGGGGACAGGACTCAAGTCCGATCTGTTTTCGTACTCGTCTCTCTACTTCACTCTCACATGTGGCTGTTCTCTCTGGGTGCTTCAGGGGCACAGTATGCTCCATGTCCTCTGTCTGTCTCCGTGCTTGTCCCCCTTGTTCTCTCCAACTCGTGCCCTTACTGCTCCCCCTCTCTCTCTCTTGTTCTTCTGTCTAGGTGCTTATTTGGACACATGATTCTCTCCGGTTCCTCACTTGTCCTCCCTTGTTCCCTCCAACGTGTATACTTCATTCCCTCCTCATTGCTGCTGCTGCTTGGGAAAGAACGGATTTCCTGGCCTCTTGTGTTTCTCCCTGCCTTTTTTCCTTTGTTCAGGTCACATTCCCTTACCCTCGGTCTCTACCACGTGTTACCCTACTTACCTTCCTACTTGTCTCCAACTTGCCTCCTTATCCTCTCTCCACTACCGTGCTCTTTCCAGGCCTCCAGCATTTGGGAGGGAGAGGATAGTTTTTCTCCTCTTTCCTTTCTTTCCTTCCTTGTCCCTGTAGTCTTTCCCAGCGCTTTCTTCACTTCTCTCCTCATTCCTGTTGTTCTCGCTTTTGGGACCCAAGATTCTCCTTGTCTCCCATGTGTTCCCATCTGTGTCCTTATTCAGCCAGTTTTTTCCTACTTGCTGTGTTGTCTAGGCTTTAGGACCTTCAGGTGCTTTTGGGGGCCATAAACATTACCGAGTCCCTCATTTGTGTCCCTTCCGTCACCGCCTTGTTGCAGTCTCCTCTCTTCATTTCTTTTTGTCCCTCCCTGTTACTGTTCTTCTTCCTGGGTGCTTCTGGGCACAGGATACTCTTCGTGACTCTTCGTGGTGCTCGATGGCAAAGGATTCTTCTTGCCTCCCATTTGTTTTCATACTTGTCTCCTTGTCTGTTCCCAACTTGTCTCCTTATTTCTCTATCTCATTGCGATTCTTCTCTCTGGGTGCTTTCGGTCAAAGGAATCTCCTTGTCTCCCGTTCCTCACTTCTCTCTCCATTGCTCAGTGTTCTTCGTTCTGGTGGCTTTGGGGACAGGACTCAAGTCCCATCTGTTTTCGTACTCGTCTCTCTACTTCACTCTCACATGTGGCTGTTCTCTCTGGGTGCTTCCGGGGCACAGTATGCTCCTTGTCCTCTGTCTGTCTCCGTGCTTGTCCCCCTTGTTCTCTCCAACTCATGCCCTTACTTCTCTCTCTCTCTCTCTTGCTGTTCTTCTCTCTAGGTGCTTATTTGGACACATGATTCTCTCCGGTTCCTCACTTGTCCTCCCTTGTTCCCTCCAACGTGTATACTTAATTCCCTCCTCATTGCTGCTGCTGCTTGGGAAAGAACGGATTTCCTGGCCTCTTGTGTTTCTCCCTGCCTTTTTTCCTTTGTTCAGGTCACATTCCCTTACCCTCGGTCTCTACCACGTGTTACCCTACTTACCTTCCTACTTGTCTCCAACTTGTCTCCTTATTCTCTCTCCACTGCCGTGCTTCTTTCCAGGTCTCCAGCATTTGGGAGGGAGAGGATAGTTTTTCTCCTCTTTCCTTTCTTTCCTTCCTTGTCCCTGTAGTCTTTCCCAGCGCTTTCTTCACTTCTCTCCTCATTCCTGTTGTTCTCGCTTTTGGGACCCAAGATTCCCTTGTCTCCCATGTGTTCCCATCTGTGTCCTTATTCAGCCAGTTTTTTCCTACTTGCTGTGTGGTCTAGGCTTTAGGACCTTCAGGTGCTTTGGGGCCATAAACATTACCGAGTCCCTCATTTGTGTCCCTTCCGTCACCGCCTTGTTGCAGTCTCCTCTCTTCATTTCTTTTTGTCCCTCCCTGTTACTGTTCTTCTTCCTGGGTGCTTCTGGGCACAGGATACTCTTCGTGACTCTTCGTGGTGCTCGATGGCAAAGGATTCTTCTTGCCTCCCATTTGTTTCCATACTTGTCTCCTTGTCTGTTCCCAACTTGTCTCCTTATTTCTCTATCTCCATTGCGATTCTTCTCTCTGGGTGCTTTCGGTCAAAGGAATCTCCTTGTCTCCCGTTCCTCACTTCTCTCTCCATTGCTCAGTGTTCTTCGTTCTGGTGGCTTTGGGGACAGGACTCAAGTCCCATCTGTTTTCGTACTCGTCTCTCTACTTCACTCTCACATGTGGCTGTTCTCTCTGGATGCTTCCGGGGCACAGTATGCTCCTTGTCCTCTGTCTGTCTCCGTGCTTGTCCCCCTTGTTCTCTCCAACTCGTGCCCTTACTTCTCTCTCTCTCTCTTGCTGTTCTTCTCTCTAGGTGCTTATTTGGACACATGATTCCCTCCGGTTCCTCACTTGCCCTCCCTTGTCCTGCCTTGTTCCCTCCAACGTGTATCCTTAATTCCCTCCTCATTGCTGCTGCTGCTTGGAGAAGAATGGATTTCCTGGCCTCTTGTGTTTCTCCTTAACTTTTCTTCCTTTGTTCAGGTCACATTCCCTTACCCTCGGTCTCTACCACATGTTACCCTACTTACCTTCCTACTTGTCTCCAACTTGTCTCCTTATTCTCTCTCCACTACCGTGCTTCTTTCCAGGTCTCCGGCATTTGGGACGGGGAGGATGGTTTTTCTCCTCTTTCCTTTCTTTCCTTCCTTGTCCCTGTAGTCTTTCCCAGCGCTTTCTTCACTTCTCTCCTCATTCCTGTTGTTCTCGCTTTTGGGACCCAAGATTCTCCTTGTCTCCCATGTGTTCCCATCTGTGTCCTTATTCAGCTAATTTTTTCCTACTTGCTGTGTTGTCTAGGCTTTAGGACCTTCGGGTGCTTTGGGGCCATAAACATTTCCGAGTCCCTCATTTGTGTCCCTTCCGTCACCGCCTTGTTGTAGTCTCCTCTCTTCATTTCTTTTTGTCCCTCACTGTTACTGTTCTTCTTCCTGGGTGCTTCTGGGCACAGGATACTCTTCGTGACTCTTCGTGGTGCTCGATGGCAAAGGATTCTTCTTGCCTCCCATTTGTTTCCATACTTGTCTCCTTGTCTGTTCCCAACTTGTCTCCTTATTTCTCTATCTTCATTGCGATTCTTCTCTCTGGGTGCTTTCGGTCAAAGGAATCTCCTTGTCTCCTGTTCCTCACTTCTCTCTCCATTGCTCAGTGTTCTTCGTTCTGGTGGCTTTGGGGACAGGACTCAAGTCCCATCTGTTTTCGTACTCGTCTCTCTACTTCACTCTCACATGTGGCTGTTCTCTCTGGATGCTTCCGGGGCACAGTATGCTCCTTGTCCTCTGTCTGTCTCCGTGCTTGTCCCCCTTGTTCTCTCCAACTCGTGCCCTTACTTCTCTCTCTCTCTCTCTTTCTTGCTGTTCTTCTCTCTAGGTGCTTATTTGGACACCTGATTCTCTTCGTTTCCCATCTGTTTCCGTACTTGTCTCCCTTGTTCTCTCCAAGTTGTATCCTTAATTCCCTTCCCATTGCCATTCTTCTCTCAGGCTCCTTTCTGGCCTCCTGTGTTTCTCTCTACTTTTCTTCCTTTGCTCAGGCCTCCTTACTTGTCTATTAATTGCTGCTTGTCTCTGCGTGCTTTGGGACGAAACTTATTATCCGTTACATTCCCTTACCCTCGGTCTCTACTACATGTTTCCCTACTTGCCTTCCTACTTGTCTCCAAGTGGTCTCCTTATATATCCTCTCTCCACTACCGTGCTTCTTTCCACGTCTCCAGCATGTGGGACTTTTCTACTCTTCCCTTTCTTTCCTTACTTGTTCCTCTAGTCTTTCCCAGTGCCTTCTTCACTTCTCTCCTCATTACTGTTGTTCTCTCTGGGTGCTTTTGGGACACAGGACTTTCATTGTCTCCAGTTTGTTTCCCGATTTTGCCACATAGTCGAATATTGGTGGCTTTTTTGGGTGGATATATTGTTTAGTATTGATGATTTTGGGGGTCTTCAAAAAAGCAATAAAATTTTCAAAGAGGGAACCACACCTCCAGTTTGTTTTCCTATTTTGCCACATAGTCTAATATTGGTGGCTTTTTTGGGTGGAGATATAGTTTAGTATTGATGATTTTTGGGGCCTTCAAACGAGGAATAAAATTCTCAGAAAGGGAACACAAACACATAGTTTAGCATTCTTTAAGACATAGTTCTGTATTTTTTGAATACATAGTTTAGTATTGAGATTTTTTGAATACATAGTTTGGGATTGGGTCTTTTTGGATACATAGATTACTATTGGGAGATCAGCTTCTCACTTTTGGGGTTTTCATATGTTTGTTTTTTTAACTTTTTGAATTCAGAAAATTCAAAAAATATGTATTCGCTTTTGTTTGATCTTTTTGATCTTTTTGAATTCTGAAAAGTCAAAAATATATGAATTCTCAGAAAGAGAGCCGAGAGCCAAACATAGTTTAGCATTAGTTTTTTTGAATACATAACATAGTTCAGTATTGAGTCATTTTTTTTGAATACATAGATTACTATTGGGAGATCAGCTTCTCACTTTTGGGGTTTTCATGTTCTTTATTTTTTGCTTTTTTTGAATTTCAAAATATTCAAAAATATAATGAACTTCTCCCAAAAGTCTCTCTGAACCTCTTTTTTGGTGATTTCAATATTTTTTGAATATTTTGATGTTTTTGAATTTCAAAATATTCAAAATATTCAAAATATAATGAACTTCTCCCAAAAGTCTCTGAACCTCGTTTTTGGTGATTTCATTATTTTTTGAATATTTTGAATATTTTGATTTTTTTGAATTTCAAAATATTCAAAATATTCATAAAATTTAGCCAATACAAAAATATTTTGAATATTTTGATTTTTTTGAATTTCAAAAATTTCAAAATATTCAAAAAAATTAGCCAATACAAAAATATTTTGAATATTTTGATTTTTTTGAATTTCAAAATATTCAAAATATAATGAACGTCTCCTAAAAGTCTCTCTGAACCTCTTTTTTGGTGATTTCATTATTTTTTGAATATTTTGAATATTTTGATTTTTTTGAATTTCAAAATATTCAAAATATTCAAAAAATTTAGCCAATACAAACATATTTTGAATTTTTTGAATTTCAAAATATTCAAAATATTCAAAAAAATTAGCCAATACAAAAATATTTTATTTTTTTGAATTTCAAAAATTTCAAAATATTCAAAAAATTTAGCCAATACAAACATATTTTGAATATTTTGATTTTTTTTGAATTTCAAAATATTCAAACTATTCAAAATATTCAAAATATAATGAACTTCTTCCAAAAGTCTCTCTGAACGTCTTTTTTGGTGATTTCATTATTTTTTGAATATTTTGAATTTTTTGAATTTCAAAAATTTGCAAAATATTCAAGAAAATTAGCCAATACAAACATATTTTGAATATTTTGAATTTTTTGAATTTCAAAATATTCAAAAAAATTAGCCAATGCAAAAATATTTTGATTTTTTGAATTTCAAAATATTCAAAATATTAAAAAAATTTAGCCAATACAAAAATATTTTGAATATTTTGAATTTTTTGAATTTCAAAATATTCAAACTATTCAAAATATAATGAACTTCTCCTAAAAGTCTCTCTGAACCTCGTTTTTGGTGATTTCATTATTTTTAGAATATTTTGAATATTTTAAATTTTTTGAATTTCAAAATATTCAAAATATTCAAAAAAAATTAGCCAATACAAAAATACTTGGAATATTTTGATTTTTTTGAATTTCAAAAATTTCAAAATATTCAAAAAAAATTAGCCAATACAAAAATATTTTGAATTTTTTGAATTTCAAAATATTTAAAATATTCAAAATATTCAAAATATAATGAACTTCTCCTAAAAGTCTCTCTGAACCTCTTTTTTGGTGATTTCATTATTTTTTGAATATTTTGAATATTTTGATTTTTTTGAATTTCAAAATATTCAAAATATTCAAAAAATTTAGCCAATACAAAAATATTTTGAATATTTTGAATTTTTTGAATTTCAAAATATTCAAAAATATTCAAAATATAATGAACTTCTCCTAAAAGTCTCTCTGAACCTCTTTTTTGGTGATTTCATTATTTTTTGAATATTTTGAATATGTTGAATTTTTTGAATTTCAAAATATTCAAAATATTCAAAAAAATTTAGCCAATACAAAAATATGTTGAATATTTTGAATTTTTTGAATTTCAAAAATTTCAAAATATTCAAAAAAAATAGCCAATACAAGAATATTTTGAATATTTTGAATTTTTGGAATTTCAAAAATTTCAAAATATTAAAAAAATTTAGCCAATACAAAAATATTTTGAATATTTTGATGTTTTTGAATTTCAAAATATTTAAAATATTCAAAATATAATGAACTTCTCCTAAAAGTCTCTCTGAACCTCTTTTTTGGTGATTTCATTATTTTTTGAATATTTGGAATATTTTGAATTTTTTGAATTTCAAAATATTCAAAATATTCAAAAAAATTAGCCAATACAAAAATATGTTGAATATTTTGACTTTTTTGAATTTCAAAATATTCAAAATATTCAAAAAATTTAGCCAATACAAAAATATTTGAATATTTTGAATTTTTTGAATTTCAAAAATATTCAAAATATAATGAACTTCTCCTAAAAGTCTCTCTGAACCTCGTTTTTGGTGATTTCATTATTTTTTGAATATTTTGAATATTTTGATTTTTTTGAATTTCAAAATATTCAAAATATTCAAAAAATTTAGCCAATACAAAAATATTTTGAATATTTTGATTTTTTTGAATTTCAAAAATTTCAAAATATTCAAAAAAACTAGCCAATACAAAAATATTTTGAATATTTTGAATTTCAAAATATTCAAAATATTCAAAATATAATGAACTTCTCCTAAAAGTCTCTCTGAACCTCTTTTTTGGTGATTTCATTATGTTTTGAATATTTTGAATATTTTGATTTTTTTTAATTTCAAAATATTCAAAAAAATTAGCCAATACAAAAATATTTTGTATATTTTGAATTGTGTGAATTTCAAAATATTCAAAATATTCAAACAAATTAGCCAATACAAAAATATTTTGAATTTTTTGAATTTCAAAATATTCAAAATAGTCAAAATATAATGAACTTCTCATCTTTTTTGGTGATTTCATTATGTTTTGAATATTTTGAATATTTTGAATATTTTGATTTTTTTGAATTTCAAAATATTCAAAAAAAATTAGCCAATACAAAAATATTTTGTATATTTTGAATTGTTTGAATTTCAAAAAAATCAAAATATGCAAAAAGTAATGAAACTCCAAAGAATAGTTGAAAACAGTCGTCTGGGAGATTGCTTTTCAATTTGAAATGGAATCAAATAGTCAACGGTCAAATAGTACATGAAGGTCCATCGTACATACATATATATATATATTATATATATAGGGTCCTCAAAAAGGTAGAAGAGTGTTTCTAGGATGTTGATGATGTTTCCTCCATAACCTGCAGGTTCTCTCATTTGCGCATTGTTTTGCGGTCATTCATTGGGGCAACCAGCCCCAAAATCACCAGAAATTGAGAAAAATAACTGGGTTGTATAAACCATCCCCAAATGGCCGGGTTATTTGGGTTTACCACAGCCCATCCATTTTCAAACAGTAACAAACCCAACTATATTGATAGCATAACTATACATCCCAGCATTACCCTAGACATGGTCCCATGTTTCTTAGCTACTATGGGTTCACTACACTGAAGTGTTGGGCCGGTTGAAAAACTCACAGCCATCACTGGGCGACCATCACCCGTACCAACACAACCCAGGAATCTCCTCGCCAAGTAACTGGAATTCCTTGGCGCAAGCCCTGAGTTTGCTCATGAACTTAGGCTTTGGGGTAGCTTTCGGCGCCGACGCTTCTTTCGCATCGCTCGGGCCGTCCTGGTGAGGTGCAGGAGATGGCTTTTGAAAGAGGGATGAGGGATGTGCATAGAGATCAGATTTAAATAAGACGACTTATGTAATGTTTATAAAAGTATTTTTTAATACACGTATAACTATAGCCACACATCATACAATATATGTATATAATAACAATTATTATTATTACTATTATTACTATTTTTATTATTGATAATATTATTATCATTATTATGTTATTGTATGATAGATAATTATAATATATCATAATATTATATATATATATGTATATGTATGATACAACACATGCTTACCAATATATACTATATAAATCATATAGTCCAATCCATTTACCTGAGGACCTGGGCATGGCGTTCAGCCATAGAACCCCCACCCCAAAAGAGGCTCTCATGTATCAGTGAGTTGGAGAAGCTGAAAAATGTTGGTAGGATTTTATCTGATCGATTCTGATATTCCATAGATTTCCATAGGTCTTTCATAGTAATTATGTCCATAGGTATTTCCATTGATATTTCCATATATTTCTATAGATTTCCATAGTATAATCCCCTATACTCATCAACCATTCATGTCTTGCCACACCGTGGCCCGCGCCTTGCTGCTCTTGGCCTCGACATTGCCCTCGGACTTCGCGGTCTTGGTCTCCTCCTGCGATGCCGAGCAAGCGCTGTCCAGGGTGAAAATGAGTAAACCATAGTAAACCATGGTTATACACATGGTTTAACCATAGGGTTTACAAATTTTGAGCGCTGTCCATGGTTATACACCAACAATAAATGCGCCAAAATGTGTAAAACAGCAAACACACACGCACACAGCACACACAAAAAAAAACAATGATAAATGTTTCTGAGTACTGTGAGGACTGCGTTGGTGCAACTGATGACACGTGGCCAGTCTTGCTGGTCTTATTTCCATTTTGGAGGAATGCATGTTCCTTTTGTACAATAATTTAAATGATACGAAATGATACGAAGAGATCCCTCTGAAAAGCGCTTTCATGCACAACAGTCAATGGGGACAGTGTTTTCTATTTCAGACAAATCCCTGAGGAATATCAATGTGACTGTCGGTCAAAATCCACAGGGAACCACATTTTTCGCGTTTTGGGATTTGTTATGTTGACTGGCTCCAGCGTCACCATCTTACCCTCTGGTAAACTAACATAACTATGGAAAATCACATGTTTTAATGGGTAAATCCACTATAAATGGCCATTTTCAATAGCTATGTTTGTTTACCAGAGGGTAGTCCTGAACTCACGCATTTTCGAGCTTAGCGTGAAACGAAACTTGTTTTATCCAGATGTGTCACATCATGCCTCCAAAAAACCTCATCTTTTGGCCGGTCATTATCAAACAAAGTAATCCACTAGCCTACTCAAGAAAAGTTTACCTTGAATCAGACTGGACGAAACGAAAAGAAAACAGATTTGCCCACATATATTATTACGATACATAACGATTATATAGCCCTATGTGAATCCGGTGTATCATTTCCCCATATTGTCTCTTTCTTCAAATGACCATAGGAAGCTCAACTCCAACTTTCAGCCACAGACGGAGAAGAAACACCTCGTCGGACTTGCCGCAAATGGTCTCTTTGACAGCCTGTGGAAGACTTCAAGGGATGATGTAGGCCTAAGACATCAAACCAAATATGAAAAATTATGTGTAACTAGAGAGTGCTACGGAGATCTTTCTGGAGCGTGTATCTATGTATATATATATATACACATATAATAATCACATGTATACGTATATATATATATATACATATAAGTTCATCTTCCATTGATCAGTAGGAAAAAAACACATGTATATACATTTGCACCCACCCGTCATCCTGGGTTCCCGGACGGCGGCAACGTTCATGCGATGTCGGCCACGGGCGACCATCAAACACTTGGAGATCGTCTTGATCCTTTGCCATCGCAGGGTGACCCATCCCAAACTGCTGCTTCAACCCACCAAATGGTGGATTTTCACCAAGAAAAATAGCCATGAAATTGACATCAGTCAGTGTTGGCATAATGGAAGCCATCAATTCAAGATCAGCATATATGTTAACAAGGGAGTGGCCGGCAGAAAATCCGGTGAAAAGTGTTAGACCAAAACCCAGCACAACTATGTTTCTTCATAAATGTGTGCTTCAATGGATATCCCCAGGAAAAGGCCCTTAAAAGTAGGTCACCATCAGTGAAATAGTGGTGTAACAACGTTTTTTCCTTCATGGGCCAGGTGTTTGCCCAACAAGCATCAGCTGAACAGACTGGAACCGAATTGGGATTGGACCCAGAAATTCTCTCATTGATTGGTGGTATCCTCATGAAAAGTAAGATAACTATAGACTATATAACTAGTAAGATCATCAGATCAGGTGTCAGCCCACAATATCATCAATGCGGGATCCACCAGCATCATAAACCCATGGATTTTTGTATTGTTGTGTAAAAATAAGCCACAACATGCCACAACATGCCACAACACTTCGGGTAATTTGCAAATTTTGCAATCTTTCCCAACATGGATGCTTCGTGGGGATGGTGTACCCACTGAGTTTCGTGGCACGACATTCCCTCTGGGCCCAGCAACTTCTTTTGGACCTCTTCTGGAGCGTCGTCGCCCAAGCCTCACGACAGGACAGCCACTGTCGATGATCCAAGAATCCATGGCTATGCCTGTCATTTGTGTTCACCACTCTCCGAAAGTTTCTGTCGCCCCCAAAATATGCGCTTCTGTTGCCCCTACAAAAACGCTTTTGTCGGTGCAAATTCCAATTCACCCTCTCTTGCCTCGCCATAACTACCATAAACTAGCCTTCCAAACGAAACTTAGAAAAGAATATGGATCAAAATTGACTAACATACTTGGATGATCTTGGATGATTAAGACTAAGACTAAACATGATCAGCCCATTGTCGGGCCTTGCATTTTGACCCATATCCAGTGGTGTGGTGCCCTCTCCACTGAGTTTGTCAATTCATCTCACCAATTCGATTAGAATCTACCATAGACCCAACAGTTAAACTACTTAGTTCAACCAACGTTGCAAACTTTAAAAAAAGGCACCATCGATTCCCATTATCTTCCTAATTATCCCTGTATTGTTGATAGTGAATCTCATTCTAACCCCTTTTATATGTATACATACTATGTATATTATATATATATATGTATTACACATATTTGATGATGCCAATTGTATTCCCATTATGATTCCCATTGTTGATGGTGAATCTAATTTTTGTTCCTTCCTATTGTCAATTGGTCAAATCCCCAGTTTTATGTGGTAAAAAAAAACACCATAACCAACACCTATAATAATTATAATTATTATTATCATTTACAGTTCAATCAGTTATATTTACTCCAACACATTACTCCAACAGTTATAATGTTATAATTGTTGCCACGCCATTACCCAAACAGTTCAACATGTTCAACAGCTCAATCCCCAGCGACCGCGACCACCGAAAGGTCGGAACCTGCCAGGTATAACGTCTCTGCGGCTTTGCAAAGACTCATGCGATGTCGCTTCGTGGTCTTTTCTGCGGCCAATTCAATTGTCGCCTCCGCTTCGCATGCGGTTTTTTTTGGGGGGCAACAAAAAGAAAATGTGGGAAACTCTCTCAGACTTAGTTTACTTAGTTTACTTAGTTTACTTAGTTTACTTAGTTTACTTAGTTTACTTAGTTTACTTAGTTTACTTAGTTTACTTAGTTTACTTAGTTTTAGGAACAACATATGAGATCTTCTGTCAGACTTTGTTTGAGGATGATTGAAGAAACAACTATAGAAACCTCATAGTCTTGGATGATAAAACCGTGGCTACCTGAAGATGTTCCCTCAAGTCAAGCCCATTGGAAGACGTGCACAAGTTGCGGGCACATGGGGATGTATCACCACAACGACTACATAATTTACTCCATATCCATATATTGTTAAAGAACTACAGTACCCGCGGTGACCAAGTTTTCGAACAACTGATGAGAAAACAAGAATTGCTTTAAGCAGGGATAAAGCATGTACCCTGGAAAGAAATTTTTGAACAAAGAGGTTCGGAAAACAGAACAAGAATTCACGATTCCCAAATCGTTTGCCTATATTTGCCTTCAACTTGGATGTCTCATGAAGGCAGCGCCTTCAATACTTTTCTGGTTTGAGGGATGTGCACAACAATGAGAGGAGCAAATTGGTCCAAACACAAACACCCATCCCTTTGACATACTCGCAACTCGCAACATCTGTGGGATTTGAGAACATCCCCAAAAACCATAGGAACATTAGCTTACATCTCTGTATGTATGCCATAGTCAAAGCGCATCTAGACACCGCTACCGCACCGCAGGAGTTCGCACATGACCGTCTCAGATTTTTGGCTCGGATCAGAGGTGGTGGCTTTAAGATGTTTTAAGCAATCCAAATACCCTCCGGTAAACTAACATAACTATGGAAAATCACAATTTTTAATGGGAAATTCAACTATAAATGGCCATGTTCAATAATATAGCTATGTATAGCTATGTATAGCTATGTCAAATTACCAGAGGGTATATCCAACTAACATTAGTCTACCGCAGTCTACCTGGATAACCTTCAATCATTGGAAAAAATAGCAACAAAACAAATAGAAAAGAACTGGGTCAACATCATCGACCTCTTAAAATGGATGGTTTAAGTTCAATGACCAAACATGACTACTGGAAGTGTGAGTAGGTGATTGAAGCCACATGCCAAGCAGAATTCCCAAGTCTCCGAATCTTGAGTTTTACGCAGAATTCATCAACTGTGTTGCACAGTGACCATGTTAATAAAACAAGTACAGATTCAGCATATCATCATTGGTGGAAAAACCATATCTCTTGACCTTTTTATATATACGTTTACGACGCTAACTGTGATGCCATCCATACAAATTAAGATTAGTTCACTACATAACCTGTGGTCAGTATGAACCATTCGCATCCATTCGCTATGACCACATCTCTCTGGACCAGTGGCCTTATCCGCCCCAGAAGCTGTCTTCTCGGCCGCGACGCAGGCGATGCTTTTCCTATTCGAAGAAATTGGTAGACCATGGTCCATGCTGAGCCACTAGCCAATGGAAAAGTATTTGATATATATATATATATATGCCCATTATCTATATCTATACATATATATGGTATATTTTGGAATCCCCAAACTGGCAGCAAGCCCCAATCTCCAAGTGTCCCTGACACTCCGCAGCCGCACAGCAGCTGGATATTTCTCCAAGATCGCACTGAATCCAAATCGGCACGGTCGCCACGACCAACCAGCCTAGCAAGCACGGAAGCTAGGCACCTATGGCTCAAGCAAGCCACGCCCTCCTCAAGGCTCTCTGAGCCGCCCCAGCTTCAGAGAACATGTGGTCTGCAGGGGACCCAAGCTTTATGGTTGAAGTGCATGTTCATTGTGAATCGGCAGAGATTTTACATTCCCTTTACAACAAAAGATTCACAATGTTCCGCAAGGTTGGTGGAACTTCACATATTTCCCATATGGATGACAAGAGGACGGCTTGGCTTTTCCAATATCATCACTCCCTATATGTGTTTGCGCTCTGCCGCAACCATTGCAGTCTGCTTCTAGAGTCTGACCTGGCTTTGAGGATTTCACTTTCATCATGTAAACAGTACTTCCCCAGCTGGAGACATTCACGGAGCATGGCATTATCCATCACTTTGGTCAACGAGTCTGCAACTTGAGCTCCCGATGGAACCCACCGAATTTGAATGCCATTTTGGAGGTGTTCTTTAATCAGCTTAGCTTGAAGCAACGTACGGAACTCTTGACAACTTGGAGGAGCAGTTCGGCTGATGAGGTCATATAGTGATTTACAATCTGTGGTGATTATCCCGCTATTAGACTTTGGTAACTGGTGTAAAAGTTGTTGGACCTTGTCATGGGGAGTGTTTTGATCTTCATCTTCAGTTGGAGGAATGGCTGCAAAAGCCGGTGGCAATTGGAGTAAGGTTTGATCTGCTTGTTTCCATGGAATTTTGGTATCAATCAACCAGCCCCAGTAAAGTCTCACCCAGGATAACATATCCACCGCACCAGCAAGGGCCATTGCCTCTGCAGACAGCGTGCTCACTGCTACCTTCTGTATTTTCTTTGAATGCCACATGATTGGGTTTACGACACTGGTTCGGTTCCTTCCAAGTTCATCATGGCATGACATGATCATCATTCCTTGGTGCGAATCGGGAATCTTGGCCGAGGCAAACGAGGCATCTGAAAAGGCTGCAAATCTCAGATGGTTCATGGAAATTGGTTGAATTTTAAGGGTTACTTCTGCATGGAGTTTGGCTTCATGGAGGGTTTTATTGGCATCATTCAAAGTGGATATTTTGGCTTTGTTAATTTGGGATTGCAAGTTCCCTAGTCTGCTGCACAGTCAGGCCGGGTGTTTACTGCGGCGTATTGGAGTGATCCAATAAGCCCTCGCAGGCTCTGTCGCTCACTTTCATTGACTGGCTCATCTGGATGCATTTTCCGGTTCTTGGCTATGGCAATTGGGTGTATATCTTTGACGTATTGAGTCTGGTTAATGTGTATTGAGTGGTCAGGTTGTTGGTCGATTCTCAAACCTGTGAAGGTAAAGTTTCTTTTCTTGTGAGATCCAAATGGAAATATCTTGGATAAAGCCATCAATTTTTCCTGGAAGAGCTTTGAGCCACAGCATAAACCATCATCTACATGAACTCCTACGACCCCTTCTGTTGTCCCGGTTTTCGGGTTAACCAACACAAAAGTGCAAGGGTCAAAGGGCGAGGCAGTGAATCCCAAGGATTCTAAACCACGCTTCAGTTCCATGAACCACAGGTAGGGAGCGTCTACACGACCATAGGCACCTTTGAGCAGTTGTAACACCTCATTAGGTTGCAGCTTTAAACGTTCCCGAAGCTCAGCAGTGGGTTCAATCCCCAAAACTCTGTCACCTTGTTCAGATCCCCTCAAGAAGGCTGTCTTGATGTCGAACGATTCTATGTCCCATCCATTGGATGCTGCAAGTTGAAGAATCAACATTCGCGACAGTTTGGACATTGTTGGTGAATCCCTGGGAATCTCATGTACAAGTGGGTCCTCATACCCCAAAACAACCAAGCGAGCTTTGGGGGTGTGCTGTTTTGGGCCCTCAGAGTTGGAGTCCACAGGCTTCCACGTCAGGATCCATCTGCAACGCATGATGTTGGCCTCTGGTATTTGATGCCGCAAGACACGAGCGACGGTTTCGGTCGCTAACCAACTATCTATTTCCTTCATTTTTGCCTGGTGGAACAGTTCCTTTTCTTTGTTGGATAGTTGAGACATTTTCACTTCGCTTCTCTGTCTTTTGGCAGCGGAAACCAGGAAACTCATTTCAGTTGGGTGTTCTTCGGCTCGCCATTGGTCTACATCCCTCTGTGAGATGTCCACTTCAAAGCGCCAAGCCATATCATCCATGAGTGTGAAACAGTCTACTTCTTCTGCAAAAAGTTCATCATCATCATCAGTTGGCACAGGGACATCGATGGGTGTGTCTACTTGGCTTTGAGACATCACCGCTGGTGCCGCTGGTGGGCTTACGGCAGATCCTCTCGCATTGGGCGGATTTCCCAGTTCAGGCTCTGAGGGAGCTGCTTCTGGTTCAGGATCACTTTGGATACTCTGGTCTGATGACCTTTGAGAGGCTTGATTGTTCACTGGCATTTCGGCTGCTGACATTGGTTGTTGGGGATTATTTTCAAGGTTAGAAGTTATAGGGACATTATCTGGCATTGGTAAGTTATGGAACTGGGTGCCACCATGGTGAGGGATTATTGATTGCTGAGTATTTGTTGGCTGGAAATGCGGTACATGAGAATTGCTTTGGTGCCACTCCTCTACGGCTGAGAGAGGTCGAACATGTTCAGGAGCTGCTCTGTACAATTTGGTGCCCTTGGTTACCCATATAACCTTGTTTTCTTCTTGGATGATGACTTGCATGGGTCCTTCCCATTGGCCTTCAGACTCTCCCTTACGTTTCCACAACATGACCCATGTGCCTGGGCTATAGTGACCTCTATTGGGTCGACTGCGGCTTGTGAGGGCCCTTCGCAACACTTGGTCATTGTCGATTGACACAAAGGCCCGGCGAGCTCGTTCTCGGGTGGCTAACTCTTCTCGGAATTTCACTCCTTCTGGAGTCGGGTGCAAAGCAGCATGATGGGAGGCGGTCTCTTCATCATTGACTACTGAACCCCCCAACTTTGATCCCTTACCAAACACAAGCATTTCCGGAGGGTAGCCACGATAACGGCTCCATTGATTCTTTGTCATGGTGGCCTGGGCAAGTGCTACTGACAGCTGATGGTAAGATGTTATCCCTTCTTCATGATCCATTTTGTTCAGAATCATTTGTAGGATTCCCCCATGACGTTCCACTCGGGAATTCTGCCAGTGTCCTTCGGTTGCACAAGTCCTACTCTTGATACCAAATCGCTGCAAAAACAACCCAAACTCTTCGGAATTAAATTCCGATGCCGCATCCATGACCAACAACTTTGGTGCACCGGCCCATTGTAGCCATCCTTGCAACAGAGCTTGTGAGGCATGGTGTGAGGACCTTGATACGGAACACACTGCTGTATGATACAGAGTACTTTGATCAAGAAAATGATAGAAATGGTATTGTTCACCTTGCTTGTTTGTCCATGTAATACCATCCATAGCTATCACATCTCCAAAATCACCATGCTCGTGTATGGCACTTGGTCGGGCAATTCTTGGCATCTGTGTTTCCTTGCAAGTGGAACACTGCAAATCAGGGATTGCTTGGAGAATCCGCTCAGGGCATTTAAGCTGGCGGCAAAACTCTACCAGCTTCGGACTACCCGGATGGCCCAGGTTACGGTGAATTTTCAGCAACCATGATTGTTCGTTGCTCGGCAGCTGTAAAAACTTTGGACCATGTCTTTGTGATGCCAAGTCAATTGCATGTCGATCTTCCCCACTGGTCTCGGCATTTTTTGATCTCTCATGTGTGTTTTCATCTTCCCCCATCGCGGTCATGTCTTGAGGTTCATGTGAGGTATTGTCATGGCTTATAAGTTCTTGGTTCCGGTGAGTGTTATTGGAATTGTTATGGGTATTGTCACTGTGACTGGGACCATCATGAAAATGTAATTGCGTTTGTTCTGCATGACTGCTGGGCTCATGACACCGGTGTCGCTTGCTGGATGGACTCTCTGGCCTCTCAAGTCCATGCACTCGGACTGCAGGGATTGCAGTGTCGGCAGAAGGTTCAGCTGTTGGAACATTGGGCACCCGGGGACGTGCAAACATCGTGAGACTCAGTCGTGCAGCTACAGCTTTTCTACGCAACCCTTTGTACGTGAGTCTTTCCCATGCTTCCCATTCTTCATCCACATAAATCCCTCCTACTTTGCGACGAATGCAAATCATTCTTCTCAAGGGAGCATCACCCGGATACATGGTCTTATTTGGGCCTACATACCGGTCAGTTCCTCGACACAACACGAGGTGTTTGATTTCATGTTGAGGACACATTTCTTGCACTTGTTGCATCAGTGGTCCATTGTCAATGACCATTGTCCCAACACGGCGTGCAGTTGAGTCAGCCAGCTTCATCACTGTCTGCCAATCGACACTTGGAAATTGCCTGGCAATTGTGTCAGCATCGGTCTTCTGTCCCAATCTACGTTTCTTGGTGGGATGTTCATCGATGCTAAGCTTTGGAGCCATGAGTCTGCTAACCAAAACAGGGTGTGACTGGTCCTGGCAAATGCATCGGGCAACTTGTCTGGCAAAACGACTTGGATATCCCTCAGTAAATTGTGACAAAGGAAGCCGGATGCCACCTACCATGGTCTGACCAGCAATGTGCTGATGTTCATGGCTGCCAGAGCAAAAACGCTTGTGCAGGCTACGGAACAAATCATTGGAGGTGGACAAAACTTCCATTCTCTTTCGCAGGAACTGGTCGGTCAGGGGATCACGGAGTTGGCCAACTTCACACATGTCGAACCTGCAACAGTAAGTGTAGTTGAGGATTTCCTGCATACCTGGAACCTTCTTCAACAGTGATCCATCAGGTTGTTCCAGGTCAAAATGGTTGCCATTTTCCTTTTGGTGACGGAACAAAACAATTCCCAACGCAACTTGCCACAAGTGATTTAACCTTTCATGGAAAATCTTGACCTGTAACTCCAGTGATCGCTGTTCATTGTATTGACTCCATTTGCACCAGGGTTTGCATACAGGACTATACCACACATGCTTTGGGCGAAGTGTGACCACCTCTTGAAACAGTTTCATGCGGCCGGAGAGAGTGCTCAAATCCCCTTGATCCAGACCGAATCGATGAGCCCTGCCTCCAAGATGGAGTGCCTGCTTAGTCAGTTCGCTATCCGAGTGACACATGACTTCAAGTAAGTCCAGGCGTCGCTGATATACTTTGGGTGTTCTCACAGACTTCAGTTCTGCAGAAAACTGTTTCACCAACTTCTTCACTTCCGTCTTGAAGGACTGTTCATGCTGACCCTCCGGAATGGGAAACTCAAAATCCGGAACCATATCATGAATGCTACTGTGAACCCCAAAGCAATCACTTTCTAAGGCGTCATCTTGAGCGCCTTGACATGAGAAATCAGCTCGCTCAGTGCTGCTTCTACTCCATTCATGCGCTGGTGCAGGGTCTGGTTCTCCTCGAAGAGGGAGCACATCTGATCTTCCATGTTTCCCATCCTCAGCGACTGCTCGATGTTGTGACTCACCACCTCCCCGCTGGCTTCGCTCCCCAGGTCCTCCTCTTTCACATGGCTCCATGAGGCTTCGGAACCCATCTTCTGGTTGTTGATCCTGGGCTTGGTCACTTTGGGAGGACTCTGAGAAATCTCCTGATCCAGGCGCTTCTCGACGTAGGTGATGTACTTCTGATGGGCCGTCTTGTCGCTCTTCTCGTATTGAGAAACAAACCAATCTGTCCACTTGTGGTCCTCGAAGGCTGTTGCAAACTTCATCCCGGCTTTGGCTTTCCCAAATTGGATCGTTTCTTTCTCCAACTCCTCTAGGGGCATGAGCTTGATCTCGGTCATCTGATCGGCTGCGCTGCTGGTCTCCTTTTGGGCACGGAGAAGCTGCAGTTTCTCGGTGAGGCTGGATGCCATGGTCTGAAACTGCGGTGGTTGACACTGACTGAACGGGGCACGAATGCTTCGATCCACTGAGCACGCTGCTGTGGTGACGGTCGGATGCATCTTGATGCATGGTGGTCATGGTCTTCGGCACACATGGTTCATGTTTGATTACCCCATTATGTCCCACTTTACCGTTATTTAATCCCACATGGTTATCCAGTTTATGGGTTGGCATCTCGGCAGTTTCATCAACAGTGGCTGGAACGGATGCACAGTTACTCACCTCAGTTTTGTCAGGCTCGGACACTGTGCTGCTCGAGTCTTCCACATGAAAGCTAAGCTGCGCTGATGTCTCTGGGCTCTCCCACAACTGATTCAAATCCATGAGTATCAAATTCTTGGCAGTTCGTGTGATCTTCAGGTTTCTGTTGAGCTGTTTGCTCCACATGACATCCAAGTCTGTGTCAATCACTGCTTTGATCCCTTTCAAGAATTTGCTGGAAATCAAAAAGGGAGTGGGCCCCTCTACCACGGCAATTTGGAATCTTTGAGATCCCAGAGGCAACAGCAATGCATGACGGCTGACTAAAGTCTGATGGTTGCCAAATCGGAAAATCAAGTGGCATGGAACACGCTTCACCTGCTTACGGACCCAATCAGGCAATTGTGACAACAGCTCAGGCACTTGTTGGCTGCCAATGACGGTTTGAGAGGCACCTAGATCAACCACACCTATGGATCCGGAAGACGCAAAAAAACTGGGGCAAATCTCGCTATCTACATCGGCATTGGACTCGGACCTACACTGCTTACGTTGTCGCAAACCCTCTAAGGCTTGGTTCACCTTCGGATCAGGACAGCTGGCAATGCTAAAAGTCGGCCATTTCCTGGAGACAACTGACAGATTATCCCGTTTCTTTCCCAAAATTCTCCCAAAAATTTGGTGGGTCGTGCTTACAAAACAATCAGAGACTTCGGCTTTGGGACGGCAGTCCTCGGACACATCCAGCGATTGCACTTCGACTGGGACTTCTGATGCAGTGACAAAAGACGTTGGCACTGTCGATGCACTGGAGGCTCCACCACTGGTCCCCTTGTTTGGGCATTCATTTTTCCAGTGACCCTTCTTCATACACAGGCGGCAGTATGAGTTGGCGATTCTGGTTGCGAGGGAAGCTTTGCCTTTCCCTTTCCCTTTTCCTTTCTTACCTCCACCTTTTTCACCTTTCTTCACACTCCAGAATCCTCTGAACCTGAACTTCTCTGACAAACGCTTTCGAGCGTCCTGGTATGACGAGTAGTATGCTCCTAGTTCAGCATCATTTTGTACCATGTCTGATACTGCATCCTCAAACTGTAAAACCAAGGCTGCATCTTCGTCATCCTCGGCTGCCAACGCCTCTAAGGTGGCGTCATCAAGGGTCTCGTCAGAGGCCCAAAACACATCTCCATCCGCATCCTATGTTGTTTCAGCAGTTTCTTCCAGTGAAAAGGCGGTGTGATCGTAAGTTTTGAGGCTCTTGTCACGTTTGTTCCCAATCATGTCCTGAAAGAACCCTGACCCGATCATTCTGATTGCTGCTTCAACACTTTTGACTGTCAGATTGGCACCACTTTCAGCACCTGACTCGACTAGAACGCGTTTCTTGTCGTCACTGCTGAGTCTGCTACCCCTCAACAGTATGTAGGCCTGAATCTCCTTGATGTCAATCTTCTTGTTCACCAGTTCTGTCCAAATCACATCGCACCTGGACAGATAGGAATCACTTGTTTCTTCTGACTTTTGGGCACCTCTAAACAAGGCTTTCTCCACAATCTCAAACTTCTTCTCCACGGGCACAGCGCCCCATTTTCCCCCAACAAGCTCGACGATCTTTTGGATTCCCTTGGTGTCATTCACTAGGATCTCATCCTTGTGCAGTTGTAACTTTTGAAATGCCGTCCCTTTGCAACCCAAAACCAACCTGGTAGCTAGCTCTTGTATTTTGGTGGGTGGCCATGTCAAAAGCAACAACTCAACTTTGCTTGTCCAGATCTCCACATTGTCCACGGCAGGATCAAACGTAGGAACCAAGACTGCTAACTGGTTAGGCACATGCCCTGCATCGCCCAAGGTTTCAGAGGTCCCTGACATGTCGTACTGGCTCCGCTACCAGTTTGGAATCCCCAAACTGGCAGCAAGCCCCAATCTCCAAGTGTCCCTGACACTCTGCAGCCGCACAGCAGCTGGATATTTCTCCAAGATCGCACTGAATCCAAATCGGCACGGTCGCCACGACCAACCAGCCTAGCAAGCACGGAAGCTAGGCACCTATGGCTCAAGCAAGCCACGCCCTCCTCAAGGCTCTCTGAGCCGCCCCAGCTTCAGAGAACATGTGGTCTGCAGGGGACCCAAGCTTTATGGTTGAAGTGCATGTTCATTGTGAATCGGCAGAGATTTTACAGGTATATATATATACATATATAGATATAGCTATAGATATAGATATAGATAATGGGTATATAATGGGTATATAATGGGTATATAATGGGTATATAATGGGTATATATATATAATAGGGATATATATATATATAGGGATAACATGTAAGAAAGAAAGTTACCTTCCGGTCATTTCTTGCAGTTTGCGAACTGGAAACCATGGCATATTTAGTTCGATGATAGGTTAGAGATGCTATGGTGATGTTCCATGGCTATGTTAAATTACCAAGACGTATCTCATTTGTAATTGGTACCCCTACACATCTTTGACCACGGGTGACGGATAAGAATCCGACCAATACGGATCGCATGTCCATGTGCATATAAAGTCATTTTGCAAGGTACCAACACCCTCAATTTTCCCGAGCATAAGTCTTCAACATGATCAAAATAGCCGTGTCATGAAATTTCCACATGAGTTTTCTTCATGGTCTACACATTATTACCGACATGTGGAACCAAAATCCATATATCCAGAAAACAACACAAAAAGACCTTGACAATTTCCTTGGAAAAGTGGGAATATGATATATAACCCCCCTACAATTATATATATATTATATATATATAGAGTAACATAATTGCAACATAATTGTAACATATAGTAACATAATATAACGTTGATAATAGTTGTTAAAACCATTACAACATATAGCCCAACCATAATAACATATAGTAAACTTTGGTTCTTTGTCACTGGGCATGAGCCCCGCGGGCGCCCATCGCAGCCTGGTCCGGGCCATGATGGTCTTCACTGCGTCGTTGATGTTGCGGCGCCCGCTGATGGAACTACGGCGCTGGTCCTAGCAGATCGAAGATAGGGCGATTTCGAATGGATTTTAACGGGATTTCATGATGGTTTAATCGTGATTTCCATGGATTGTTTTTGATACGATTTCATGGATTATGGTGATTCAATGGAATTTTAACCGGAATTTACTATCATTTTATATGATTTAATGGAATAATATAACCACTATGGAATAATATAACCACTACATTGAGCTGCAGGGGTTCTTTTAATGGGTTTTTCACTATGGGATCTTCAGCATCAACAGGGATTTAGGGGATTTGATATGGATATCAGGGGATATGCAACCAACCACAAGTATTTGGGGTGATTCTAATGGGTATCACTATGGGGTTCTAACCTGGGGATTTAGTATTCCACATAACCCCTACAACCAACATGGTTGTAGCAACCCCATAGAAAAGTTGGACACCTGAAAAACATGTGGGAAACATCGAACCACATCCCTGAAACACGGTTCAGCCTCTTTTTGGGGGTTGCCATTTTGGTCCAAAAACCTCACGAGATCTTCTGAGTCCCGTTGAAAGGATGGTCATCCCCCCATAGCAATTCACCCAGGTTTTTCATCATGACCTGTGTTTGGCATGTTAGTTTTTTTCACTGACAAATTATTTGCAGCGTCCATCCATTGTAGTTAATATACTGTTAATAGTGGTTAATATATGGTTATTATATGGTCAATGATGGTTAATAAGGTTAATAATAATCTGGTTGGTGGTTTCAACCATCTTGAAAAATATTAGTCAATGTGAAGGATTATCACATATATTATGGAAAAATAACATTCATGTTCCAAACCAACAACCAGTGTATTGTTTTGAAGGTAAATCTACTGAGAATCAGCGAACATAGGCCCAACGCTTGGAAAGAAGTCTTCCTTCTCGCCAATTTGGGGTAGGGTCCAACGAGTTTCAGGGAGAACAATACTTGCCAAGTGCGGCTATTCCAATTCAAACAAGCAACATTTCAAATATGACCGATTCAGTACGGATTGACCTGTTTTTGTTGTTTGCGGAATCCCATATTTGTAACACATGTCCAACTTTGAAAGCAAAACTCTTAGACGTTGGTTTATGAGGGATTTCCCCTTGCCATGATACCTAAAACAGGTATATCATTTTGCGGCTTTCCGCAAGCAAACCTCGGCATTGGCATCAACTCCTAGAGGTTCAAAACATGGGACGTCCGTGATGATGGAAAAGTCAATCACCTCTATTTTGATTAACAACAACAAATAAGGAGATAATGCAGTTTTCCATCAGGCATAGATTTCTGTCTGATCAATTTCATCAATATCCTATCCGATTTTATTTTCAATCCCAGGATATCCCCTTTATAACATCATTTCCTTCACTGAATCAGCATCTTTGCTGGTTGCAGTATCCCCATTTTGTCCCATTAATATCATATACATCTGCTATCAAAAATCAAAAGGTTAATTAACATCTATATAACTGGACTACTTTTTGTTGGTTAAATATGGTTAAAACACGATTTCCCCTGCAAAAAATCCGAACTTTTGATGGTCAAAGTCAAATCCTACAACGTTCAATGAATTCTTAATCCCATCCCCCTAATATTGAACATCCCCATTTTGTGGTCCTAATATGTAGTTAAAACCCGTTACTCCAGACTGGAAAAAAAACTAAGGAAATATACCCTCCATTAACTAACCAAGTTCTTGGGGATGGTAGTAGTTTGCAACAATGCAGTGACTCTGGTGCGCGGGTCAGGTCAATCATGGTCAATCTTACTTAGCATTGATGAAACAAGTAAAAGGTCAATCATCTTTAACAAAACTTGCGCCAGTCGGTGTGAATCGACACATGCCTCTGAATTCGGGGATGTTGCAGCCTGAGACTGCAATGTAAAATAATGTGAATATGTACAGCACGTGACATGTGCAGAAATATCTGCCGTCTGGTGAAACCCATCATTCTCTTGGTATCATGTGCATTCATGTGCAACAAGCTTGAGACTGGCAAAAACCTTCAACTGACATATCTGACATCCATCCTAGATGTCTTGGTCCAATTGGTCCAATGTCATTGAAATCCATTGAAATCCCGCCTCTTGCTCTGCTTGGGAATCCGCCAAGTTCTCCAAGCTTTGGACCTGCAGACTAGCGGCTAGCGCTGCGACACTTCACAAAATCTCTCAGGCAACCTGCCAGAGTCAGCGCTAGTGCTGCATGTGTCTTATCATTTACACAGGGATGCAATCAGGGCAACGCAATCAGTATAGGATATGTGGTCCATATCTCTCCCGTCGCAACAATCAATAATTGTGAACATTCGGAATTCAAACATGCGTGGAACGTGCATGAACACCTAAGCCTGGCGTATCCAACAAATATGTACAATCAAGGCAGTGTCCGTGCTCCGCTAAAGCACAGAGACTGCCCAGCCTGTGTGACGATGAACCTGTCTGGGAAAGGATCCACGAAATAGATTGACATGGTTTGGAAAAATGAAGCATGGGCAACATGGGTGAATGGCAACGTCTTTGAAACGTCTTTCTCGTCCTTACATGTTGGCCCTGGTCAAGGGGTCATCCTCCTTGAAGCAAAGAAAATGGAATCCGAGAAGCTCTAGCAAATGGAACTCAACAAAACCACGTAGCGGCTCGCCCCTTTCAACACGTTAAGGATGAAAAGAAACTTGACCCTCATGGTGAAACATGCCAAACTCTGTTCTATCATGTTCTTTCTGTTTGGAAACGTTTGGGGTCAAAGAACTTTTCCTAGGGCCCATGTCAGGTTAGCTATTGATAGCTATTGCACCTGTGAGCGGATGTTGGCAAATTCCAATCGATGGACTTGGGATGTGTCTCAGCAAAACATGGTAAAACCAGGGTTTGTTTCACACTTAGCGGATTTGAAGAACAAGATGCACATGACGCCCGTTGGAGCTGCACATGCAAAGCATCTAGGGTTTTTTTGCTCGCGCGTTGTCATCATCGTCTCCTGTGGGGCTGAAGCCAACTGAATCACAGGCGAAAACGCGCCCTTCAAATCTGTGTCCTATTTCTGATGCTCCACGCCGTTCATCAACTGTAACCTCATTGTACACCCAGGGTCAGAGGCTGATCGAACGGCATTCGAATTCGAATGGTCTACGTCGTCGGATGGGAAGTTGAAGGCCAATTTCCATCCTTTCGCCGTTTCCCAGCACTGGCATCAGGATCATCCACGGGACGCTTCCACCCTTTGTGAACGCTCTCGAAGCTGCACTGTGCTCGGCATCCTTGCTGCAGAGGCCTTCACCCATGAAGGCTCCCTCCAGATTTGGATATATCGCCGTGACCCTCGGATGGAATCGCAGTGTGCAGGAGCGCACAAGTTTTATCAAGTTTTCCATCACGAAGCTCCGGAGAACCCGGGCTTGGCTGGAACAACATGAATTGAGCCGCATTCGACTCTCCCAACCTTTTTTGAATCCACTGCTCTAACAGTCTCCGAGGCGGAGGCGGATCGCTTGACATGACCACGGACCATCCAATTGAAATTTGGAATCTCTTGATCTTGGTATCTTGTAGAAATATATGAGACTTGGACTTCTACAGGTTTTTCGCTATTTGCGTATCTCCTGCACGTGGAAAAACTGAAATATCATTGCGCTTTACTTCTCAAATTGGCAACAAGGTTGAATGAACAAACAATGAAATTCGAAGGATTGTATGACGTGGCCATTCTGAAGAGCCCTGTGCTGGTCAAAGAAGCAAGAAATTGGAGAAACCATGCAGACTTGCAACAAAAACTCAATGGTCCATGTTGCCACTGACGCTCATGTTTCCACACAAAATGCATAGCAGTTCGGAAAGCAATTCTGATCTCTGAAGTTTGCATGCATTTGCACCAGATGCTGCTACCGCTTTAATGTAGACCAAAAATTCATCTAGGGGAGCAGAACTATGCTGAAACCATCGTTTGCCAGGATTTTTTGCGTTTGCTCGGGCAGGGGCGCCTGCCCCAGCAAACGTCGAAAATCCTGGCAAACGATGGATCAAACACTCAGCATTACATGTGCTGTATTGTGCTGTGGTCAAAGCTGCCATGGCTTTAGGCGCTAGCGTGTTTGCTTTCACGCATGAGCTACTTTGAACCGATCTGTTGCTAGTGACTAACGCATAGGTGGTGATCAACATGCTTGGACTGTGGCGGGTACCCTGATGTATATTGATAATTACTGATTGCCAACCGGGAAAATGAAGTCCATCAAAAGAGACCGTGGGACAACCAGGTTCAACCTTCAAAAGTCTCTAGCAGCTGTGTCCTGTTGGTAAAAATAGATGGGCCGATTTGGGACCATGTCCATATGGGTTGTTCATTGGGGAAGCTCCACTCTTAATGCACCGTGATGTCTACTGTCCAGTCACAACTGCTGAAAACCTAGCGATGGAAACGGGACGAAAAACTGTCTCTTCTGGCACCTCTTCCAGCTGTGGTTTTTCACAGTTCACCAAAGCCAAGATCTGCTCCTGGTGGATTTCTCATGAGGCTGCACAGTGTCTGGGGTCCACCAACCGTTTCCAAGCACTGTCAACTGGAAGAAAGAATATGTTGTATCAAACGTGTAACTATCAAACGGTATGGAGTGCGATATGTTCACAATATTGCTTCCTTGCTTGCTTTCTTGCTTATCTGCGAAACTGGTGTGCGTTCTTGTTTCCACTCAAATTAGTTTCATAAAATAAACATGTGCAAGTGATGCTTGTGGTCCCATTCAAATTGCCAGCTATCCCCATGAAAACCAGCCACTGGCTCAACCCCCTGCGACACCTTGGCACCGAGTTTTGCAACAAGTTCACTTTGGCGACGCGTACTAATGACCTGCTGCAGGACGAAAAGAATGATCACGACATAGCTGAGAGGGTTCTTTTGCAAGTACTTTTTCATGACCTCGATGAGTTTCTCCGCCTGTGGTGTTGCCA